CCGGGATTCGATCCTCCGACCAATGCGTCAATAGCCTAGTGCCTAAGCCACTCGACCACCACGGCGGGTTGACAATAAAAAAAAAAAAAAAAAACGTTGAAAATTTAAATTCCTAAATTTAATGCCGTAAGGAATTACTAGTGTCTCCAGGCATTGTACAGTGCCTGCCAGCACAGATAAAGTAATTATAAAGGTAGCGAAATAATATCGCATTTCCCTGATGTACGAGTAATTTTTATAACACTTCTTCAAACAGCCTGCACAGTTCCCGTACATCCACCACATCTCACGCGACCAATAAATTGACAATACTGCTCGTCAGTAGCTCCATAGAGTGCTCACGCCTGTTAGCTTCTGCGCATAAGTCAAGAAATTACCTCTCAGGGGCAAAATTTTAGAGGCGCTTAGGAACTACAGAAAAAGGACCCCTCGATTATCGGAAACACAAGGGGGTGGGATATGTTACTTACTACTTTCTCCGCCCTCTTTCAACAATAATCTGCAACTTCTACTCTCATCACACGGGCCATACCCCCCTATCCGAGGGGGGGGGGGGGGAGCAGGAGAGTTCACCCTATACTACGAAAAAAAAAAAGTAATCATGACTTCTTGTGGAGGTGCATACCACCGACTACAGACAATGGAATTTTCCCTGCTCTAGACCAGGCTTGTCATGTGCATGACCCTCCTTAAGAAGCACGCTCTTTTGTAGGTCACATGACAATTCAGAGAGTGCAAGAGTGTCTTAAAAGAGAGTCATATACGTTTAAGCTTTGAATGTGAAAGCAATATCAGCACGCACGCCCCCCCCCCCCCCCCCGCCCCCCAATATCACCTCCTCGATGGCTAGCTAGCCTTCGCTTCTCGGTGGGGCCCTAAACTGCCGCAAGGAAAGCGTTAGTGCAAACGCCCCTACGGCTCCTATCTTTATTTGCATATAACTCGAATTTTCACTCACGACGTACGCGGCTTTTCACTCACAACCAAAGACAATGACGCCGACACCTGAATTTCTGCGAAACGGGCTCTTTAACGCTATCATGTTAATATCAATGTCGGTTGCGCAATCGTCGTGGAAATGAAGTCAACCGCTCCCGAATACATTAGGAATGCGCAGTCAACCAAAACATTGCCTTGAGATGTAAAAACAACGCAAAAAAAGATGAGACCTAAACATTGCTTTCCTACTCGACTTATCAACTACGTCAGCAGTACATCCATGTTCTATTACAATATAAAATATAATTAGCAAAAAGCAAGCTGGTCTCTGGATACTGATAAAACCCCCCCCACCCCCCAAACATTCAAACAACAATCTGCAGCAGCGTTCAGGGGCAGAGCCAAAGCGTGGAACACCGAGCTGTGCAATCCCCAGTTTTACCACTCCAACTTCCTCCATGACAAGACACCTGAGAACAGTGCAACACAACACATGCTTGACGAGAGACTAACGAACTAGCGGCTGGAGCACAAGGCTCTTTGAAGAAGTCTAGAGAAAGCATATACAGCAACTTTGTAACAGCAGCTGGAGTCGCTAGAAAAAGAGGACTTGAGCCAAACAATGCACTAACCAAAATTACACTTTACTGACAAGAACTAGCCCAACAATTTATTTTTTAAACAAGGGTCTTTACTAGCTAGTAGAGGCAAGGACAATGTGGCCCTGCCACATGCCTGCTTAGTGACTTTCAAGAAGTCAACTGTCGGCAGTGAAATTGATATTTCGAAGTCTAATCTGCATGATGCCTTACTACTTTTAGCTCTTTGCATAAATTAAAGGTACGTGAATTATTTCAATATGGCTGATTCGTCCTATGCCACAAATTACTTCAGCAGCAACTGTGGTTGCACGAATTAGTTGGACTGGTCTTGACTGCTGCCTTCACACAGGAGAAATTCTTAGGCCAATGTTAGAGCTACTGAGTACTAGTGTTCACCCCCGCAACATCTAAAACGTTCCTTTGCGATGACATGAACCTTGTACCAAACACAAAAGGAAACAGGCAAATAGAAAGGGAGGTATACTATCTGTGTCATGAAAAGTGCTGCCAAGCATAAAAACCTTCGCATGCACGCACACACAGAACTTGAAACTGTCCTAGTTCTCCATAGCCTCAAACACAAATGATGTTCCCTGCAGCCACCTGTGCACTCCTAAATCCAGTGCGTAGCTACAGCCCAACTCTGCTTTTCACGATAAACAACAAGAATGGAGTGGCAGAGAGCAACAGGTGTTAATTGAAAGCGGGCGTGCTCTGTTCGACAGGAAAGCCTAGAGTCACTCCACCAGCTGCCTGCACAATCCCTGGTTAAGTGCTCACATCGGAGCTCTCAAAAACTGTGGTGGCGAGGGTTACAATGTTGAATGATGCACTGAGTGATGAAGACTAGCGCTAACTTCTAACAGAGTTTATTATGCCACTAAAAATAATGCTGTATCAGCTGTTTCATGTGCCACTGTTAAAAGAAGACTAATTTACTTATCAAAGAGGAATGTTGCCAGTGCTCGTCTTGGTTACCGAGTCTGTCATCCTCAGCCTTGCCCTAATAGCTCTCGCCACCATGTATGACCTGCCAACTACTCTAACCCACTACCCTCTCAAAAAATACCTCACAAATACTGGCAGTCGGTGCGCCTTCAGCACTGTTACCAAACACAGATGTTTTTCCCTCAGAGACCCAAAGGCCGGTATGCCCTATGAAACACATCAATCTACTAGGCCCCCCACTGCCCTAACACCCCTTAGATAAAGAGCTCAATGGCCTAAAATTAAAGGAGTGCTAAAATACTACAGAATGATTTTCAACAAAGGCAGAGGTTAAGAAACAAAGCACATTACAAAGCCCAAACACCATTCCAAATTAGAAGCTGTTTATGGAAACAGGTATTACAATAAACTTCCGGGGCCCAGATCATTTCCACATAAATTAAAACATTAAGGCAGCTTTCTATTTTTCTTCCTATTTTCCCCTTCCCTTTTTTTTATTTCGTGCTTCCTTCGTCGTTTCGCTATGTGGTTTTGCCTGCGTTACATCAATTCTTTTTCTTGAAACTGATGATCATCAAAATACAAGAACCATAAAAATAGAGAGAAGCAGCAAGTAAGAGAAGTTTTAGTACAGCCCTAAAATCTTTCTAAAAGAGGCCTTCAAAGGAGGTACTAGGCTGACATTGATAAGCATCTCGTATTTTGCTTTGTTAGTGACTTACTCCTCCTTCAAATTCAAGTGCTCTTTGTTTGATTCACTCCCCTGCTCATGACATCCAGCGATCACTGGAGTATATTGTTTCCGCACTCTCGCATACATGGCTCACATGTCATGTGGGCAAACAAACTCAAGACCTCTCTCGAAACTTTGTCAATGTCTGCCGCTACAATGTCGCCCATATTGCTTTCCTCAAACCTTGTTGTTTCGAGGGAAAGAAATAAGAAAAAAATGCACTGGTTACAGACTACCCTTTCTCCCAGCATTGTCTAGTTAACCTTTTTACTTTTTTTCCTTCCTTCCTGATTGTCTCAAGAACAGCAAATATGCCGCAAAATGAAACATAGTAGTCGTTCAAAGGCTGTTGCTTTACTGTATGATACGCACTCAAAAAACAAAAACAAACGGTGCCTTTAGACAGATTTTTAATCCTAGCACAGCGTGTGCCTTGTGCAACTGAACTTGAACAATGCTTAGGCACATTGTCTGGGAATGTGCCGTAATAGAAGAAAATGCAGTCTCCCTAGATGAAGCAGCAGCACGTTGAATGGATGCACTGCACAGCTGCAACGTCCAGGATCAACTGTGGGCCATCCAGCAAGCCTGTGAGGCAGTGAGGAGACAGGGTCTGCGGCCCTTCTCGGGGATGGCCTAGGCCCAGGCCGCAACATTGCTGGAGTTTTCATTAAAGATGTTATCACAACCCCCACCCCTGTCACCACCTTTATTTTTATTCCATTAAATATCTTTAAAACAGGAGGCACTTTTAAAGGGCCCGTAAACCACATCGGTATTTTTTCAAACATTTCAAGTAAACACGCACAATGTGTGCAGAATGCCGTCGCAATCAATGATTCTACACATGGCAGTGCTACGAGTCGCTCGTGCGCCACAAATTCCAAGAAACAATCCCTCCTTCTTTCCAGGTCTTTTGTGCCTCGTCGTGACGCACCGTTTCGATACCTCTGATGCGCCGATTCAAATATATATGCTGTGATTGGTCAAGCAAGAGCTTACGACTTTCGGTCAGTCTGCAAGCAGCTGTGCACTCTGCTCTTTGTTGTTTGTTGTGTTGCCTGCATGCGTGCGCGTGCCCGTACAGGTCCATTGTGTTGGTGATCCTTTGAAGGCATGAGTGCAAAGCAGGGTCCATACAAGCACGATTCGTATAGGCCCGGCAGCTGCGGTTCGCCAACAAGCGCACGGCTACAATGCAACTGACGGAGCCGACGAACGGAGTCGTGGCAACCAGAAGTAGACAATGTTTCAAGCAACACGTCAGTGATGACGTGTGCCACACAAGATTAGGAGGGGCACGAGAGGGGCACTCGGTGAGGGGGCAAAGCGGCTTGGGAGAAGATACCATGGAGGGTAGCACAGAAGAGAGCGAAAGGAGCGATTGCCGCAGTTTCTATAATCAAATGTGTCTAACTCCACTATTACTGCACCGTCTTGAAAAATTCCCACGGCTCTGTGTTCGTCGTACACTCGTGCGCAATTTCCCCACCACAACTGACTTTCGACCGCTGCGTGGTCTACGGCCCTTTAACATCAACCTATGAGTGGGGCGTTTAAAAGTTTAACAGGATAAACATATGATTTATGAAGCAGAAAAAATAGTATACATATGCTTTCAGATAAAAAAGCCACAGTGCACCGCAGTGTGGTGGTTGTAGAACAAACTGCACCAAATTGCAGATAACCAAACAACAGAAATAAAATTCCTAGGTTCGTGCACTCATCAAAAACGAAACCAAAGTCAGAACTCACTTTAAATGAAAGGACTACTCCAATATGGCTATCGAGAGAGCTTTTATTGGCGTGGTATAGGTGTCACAATTGGTGGTGGAGGATAGTGATGATATGGTACAGGGGGAATTCCTTCATACATAAGACCGGGTTCTGGCATACCCATTGGATCGCTGTACCCAACCATGGCATTCATCATCGGCCGGCTCATGTGGGGATCCGGGGGCCACATATCCACGCCCATGCTGACGGGTTCTCTGGAATACACAAGAAGCCAGCAGCTACGTCAATGCAAGGAACAGATGGCAGCTTTCAACAAAGTCCGAATCAGGGCTGAGCGAATGAGTGATTAGCTTCCATGTTAATAAATTAATGGTTGCTCCAAATGTCTCTGCAATATCAGGCAAGTGTTGACACTGCAATGAAGAGGTACCCCTACTTTGCTTGCATGCTTTCCAGCATACCACTCTGCTCGCTTAGCAGTAAGTGTGGCTATTGGTCAAGTGAACACTTTCACAACTTCTGGACATGCAATTTTATCAGAGCGAGTGCGATACGCCTATCAAAGTCTACTAAGGTAATGTGTCCCTGTCATGTAAGCTATCCATTTAAAAAAACAAGGTTTCTTTTTTAAGTGTATATGCACCAAAGTAATACGTGTGATCTCTTTAGTTCTAATGCATGAATCCATAAAATCATACATTTCTATAGTTTTTGAATGAGGTGGGAGTGTTGGTTAGTGACACCAGTAGCCTTGGCGGTGCTGGCTGATATTCCCACATTTAATGCCCCTGTATACTCCATAAGTGGACACGGTGATAGCCGCCGTGGTAGCTCAGTTGGTAGAGCATCGGACGCGTTATTCAAAGGTTGCAACTTGGGTCCCTGCCCATGGCAAGTTATCTTTTCGTCCACTTTCCTTTCTTCACATTTACATTACAATTACTTTTAACAGCATCTATACTTTCCTTGGCATGATTGTCTGTTAGATCTCAACAATATTATGACCAATCAGCTTACATATCAATGGATGCCCAGCTGTCCCCCGAGTGCTGTTGAATTTAATCGTCTCATGTCAAAGCGTATAGAGTGTAAACAGCAATGTGTTCTTTTACTTTGTACCTTATTTCAAGAGCAAATTCTTTGACATTCTATAGGTGCATCATAGTATATTACATGAAGAAAGTGTGTACATTGCTTCCTATCGAAAAAATATATATATAGAAGGACAATGACTTACGGTGGCTTTTTCATGCAGTCACCATCTGGATAAAGCTTCCGGAACTCATTAATGAGCACAGGATCTGTTAGCCGGACTCCCTCTACTTGATTGCCGAGAGTGATCCAGTTGGGCTGGACGTTGTGTGGTCGTCCAAAGAGCTCAATCTTGCGCGTGCCTGGAGACAGGCGCTCAATAATACCGTATATTTCATCGGGCTTGTGACTCGTCGCACGAACCTCGGCAACTATCACGTCACAGTCGAGGCCCCGGTTAATGTCCTGCAGTGACACATTGAAATGGCCATCATTTGTGCAGCTTTAGCTGCACAACACATTCCAGCAGTGAGAGAGGGAGGCTCTAGCTTCACAAACATAACATGTGTTCTCTGCAATTTATAGTTTCAAATATCAGGCACACTTCAAAAACAATAGAATAAATGGTTCCCACAGGCTTCGTCTGTAAATTTGGAGAGGCCCAGTGGTGCTATTTAAAAACACGCTGCAATAAAAGTGAATACATGCAAGTTTTACCAAATATGAATAATAATTTATGGGGTTTAAGGCGATAGAGCCCCAGCATTGTGAGGCACGCCATGGCGGGGGACACTGGATTACTTTTGACCGCCTGGGTTTTTTCTAATGAGCACCTAAATTTAAGCACAAGGTTGTAGCACTTTGACATCATTGAAATGTACCACATTACAACGAAAGTTTCATACTACAGTGTTGTACCTGTGGCTATGAAAGGCATGGGCTCAAGGTCTTAATCTTAATTATTTTCAAGTACAAATACGTCAGAGCATATAACCCCTGAGAAATTAGTACCACTTCTGTTCAATAATACTTCTGTTCAAGAAATATTGCATTGGATCTTGAATTTAGTGAAGGTGTTCCACACCGTATCCAAGTTTTGGCAGACTTGGTGAGAAATCCATGCAGCAGCAATGTGTAAGACTCTTCCCCAAAATTTTGGCAATCACACTTAGCATTCTGCATTCACTTCTTTAAAGAGGTTTGAAACATGTGAGCAGGTGTCAACTTGGAAGGTCTTTTAAGCCAAGGATCAAATTCATTGCTCACAGATGACAACATGGCTGTTAGAATGTGGGACCATGTTACATGAATGTTGGTGTAGATTATAGCATTTTGCTGTGAATGCTAATTATGGAATCACAGGGGACAAAAATGAAGTCTTTCCAGTAATGGGACATCAAGTGTTCAATTTTTCGTGGCATATTGAGGAAGCTTGCAAAAAATAAAAAAAATGCCACCCAACTGCGCACCAGTGCTCAATCTTAGTGGGAAAGGAAGGCGTCGATATAAGGCTTGCCATTCAGTGCAACATATTTATTGATTCCTTACACGCGATAAGGAACTTCAGCCTATGTTAAAATGCAAGCTGCTACTCCATTACAGGGCTGAGTGCGTGATTGTAACCGCATGTGTGCTACTTGCAGGCAATGCTGACTGCTCCCAGTGATTACTGCTTATCAAGATCATGCAAAGCTGCCAGCATGATTAACAAGTCTGAAATCAACACGAACAGCATGTTCTTTGATGAAGACCTTTAGACGGCACTTCTGTTCACACAAGTACGCAGTCACAAGGTAACTTGCCCATTTTTTTGGGTTTTCTCGATTTGTCATAAAAACTGAACCCTGATTGGAACCTCGCTGGAATCACTTCATTTTTGTAGCTCATATTCTCTACAACTTCAAAACTGACATGTTGACAATTAGTACAACAAAAGTATTTTTTACATTTAGTTAAATAATGGCAACTTGAGCAATAATGGCAATTTATCAACAATGTCCTAAACAAGATTCACTTGGCCTTATGTAGAAAGATTCTTGTTTCCTTTTTTTTATATTCAAAAGGGTACTGGCACAAAATTTCGCGGCCACGATAGCCTGTGGGATCGATTCCCGTAATATGCGTATATAATCTGCAAAATATCAGCATAAATATAGCTTAGAAGGTATTTTAACTTAATTTTGAAGTTTGTGTGAGCGTTTGACTCCATCGCGCTATTTACACTCTCAAAGGGGATGCTTGGGGACAACCTACTTTCCTGACGTCACTACGCTGCAGCAAGTTGTAACGACGTCATAGCCGCCATTTTTCTTTCGTCGCATTTGCTCCAGCAGGCTATTACTCAGCAGCTGCTTGTGAGTACATGCCCGCAGCGCCTAAGTTGAAAGTTTTGTGTTTGATGACATTGCGGTCCCGTTTCCTGTTCGAAAAATGTTCTTGATGCAAACCATGTGGAAGTGAGTCACAGTTCTCTGTGTTGACTTAGGCGAGCGTTGCACCCGCTAGGTGATAATAGTTGCACCCGATGGCTTGTCATTTTTTAAACCCAGATCGACACTGGCCGGTAATAGCGAGCCTGTAATTAATGATCTCTTGCACATTGCAGAAAATGATGTGTCGTGTTATGACTAACACGCTCCCAGGAAAACGTTGCCACAAAAAAACACGAAGCCATAATTTTTGTGTCAGTACCCCTTTAACTCTGTATGTAAGCTAAAACATTTAAATACCTAAAAACATGTTGACGACCATTATGCATATTGATATTTTCTTGACATCAGCCATCATTTTAGCACTTGTCTCAAGGTGACATTCAGGTTCTTGCAGTCAGGTTTAAAATTAATGCAGTGCTGATTTCTGAAGTATTTTCTGGTTTTCTGATCACAACCATGCGTACATTGATCCAGCAATGTTTTCAAATAGGATAAATTAAAAAAGGTACACATTAATTTCATCATGTTTTGAACAACCACTACACGATGGGCACGAATATGCTATTGAAGAAAGCCTTAAATAAAACCACTAAATATCTTAAAACTGGCAAGGATACTTTCATAAGTACGCTGCATTGATTTAGAGAATGACAGTTTGTTGTCACCAGCAATAAATTGTTTGCTTAACTTCTCCACATTATAATACATTACTAATGTCCAATCAACAGTTTCAGTGCACCACTGTAACATCACTTACTTCACTGACTTTTCTTGGTCAGTGATGCCACAATACCAAAGTTTCAAAACCACAAAAGAGCTTTAACTTATCCCATAATTCTTATAAACATACACTCTTTGCATGCTTATATCGAGAAAAAGTATTGGTTTATTTCATTATAGACAAAAATTTGTTGTAATGAGGCTTATCGTGTCAAGGTCCGACTTGATGACATATTACATTTTAATGTTTTTTAGTGTACACGGCTAACACAAGGTAAACGAAAACGAAGGTGAAGGAAAACTTATAGACAACACAAGCACTACATTTTCTTTCATCACTGTTTTCAGTACTCCTTTTCTTATTACCTGTCAGCAGATACGAGGAAGCCCAAATCTTCTTCAGCTCTTTAGTTTCCTGGGCTTTAAAGGGGCACTCATATGAAACAATGATTTCATTTAAAATGATAAGTTGCACTTTATAGGTCTTAATTTAACCATCACAAACTCATTGTTAGAAGAGAAAATCAAGATCAAAGTTTCATTTTTAAACAATGTGCCGTAATGTCAGCATGTCAAGTCTCCGATTTCAAAATGTTTTATTCATATTGTCACAAGGTCGTGACATCGACGAAGAGAGGAAAAATGAAGCTGTTTATTCGGCCGAACCTGTAGCCGGTCAACGAAGTCAGGATACAGCGATACACACAGCGTTCAACAGAGCGTCGGCTGTAGATCAACTGACAAGCGGTGAGGTGAGTGCATTTATACACATGCCGTCGAATATCCTAGCATTATCCCTAGTAGCCACGTATCGTAAAAACCAGAATTTAGGTCGGACCTGAATATAGATCGACTCCCCAAACTTTGAATCTCTGAAACAGAAATTTTTAAAAATCACAAAGTATCGCGGTGCACCTTTACTTTGGTGACACTTCTTTTTATTTGGACACTAATCTCATGTAGTTAAATGCCAGAAGGTCACAAAGCGCTGTCACTCAGACTCATTCGAACTTGACTATGACGACGTCTGTTTTTCCCCAGTAACTTCGCACAGTGCATCGTCGTTCATTCTATCCAACGCGTTAGTGATGCAGCATTTGCGGGAAGACGAAAGTGCGCCGCCTCAGCGCAAAGCCCTTTCGCTTCATAAATCGCCGCTCCCACGATGGCAATCCCTTGAATTGCACGCTTGTGGGCCGAGAGTCACGCGCTATCTCGAGCTTTCACGCGGATGCACTGCGCTGTTACGGGTAGCGACCTTGCACATAGCTCCCGGACGAATTCGGCGAGTAGAGTTTCCAGTTTAGGGTGCACTGCAATCCGTATACGGAACAGTTTTTTTTTTTATTGTTTGTTTTGGTTGCTGCAGGATGTGATGCGCTGCTTTTGGCTCCTCCTGTATCGGACGCTTTTCTCCGATGCACCGAATTAGCTTAGAAGTGCGACGGTTTGGGCTAGTTGGTATGACATGACGATAGTTATAGTGCAAGAACAGAACGACGACAAAAATCTCCTTGTTTTTTTATCGCCGTTCTGTTCTCGCGCTATGTCGCTGTTCTGTTCTCGTGCTATAACTATTGTCACCGAATCACCATTGTGCTGCCAGGTTGCCGTGTGCTTCGGCATACTTGATAACTTTTTCTTAAAGCCTATCGTAAACTGCTGTTGACTACCACTCATTTCTGAAGGAAATAGAAAAAAGATAACAGCAGAGTGACAGCAGATAACCGAGGCAAAATGGCATTGCCAGTACACTGTACGCTTTGTCTAGCCTTGTCCAACAGCACCGCTTCTGATGCTCACGATGGCAATGGAGGTTTTCGACTTCAGCTGCCCACTGTTGCGGGACTTACACATTTTGTTCTACCAATGAGCGGTATACGTATAAGGCGAGAGCCGACTTTTCATTACGTTTTTTTTATTCGACCTACATTCCGATTTTCACGGTAGGTTCCACAATAATCTGTTATGTTCGCAAAGTGGGTGTAATCTTAACAAAATGATCTATACTACAGTCCTGAAGCTTCTCGAACACTGCAGGCGTGGTTTGCACTGAGAATTACTGACAGTGTAGCAGGGCGATAACAAAACTTGAAGAAGGAATGCAGCAATATTGCCATTTTATCAATGGAGCTTTTCAAAACTTGGTATTCTCAATCCCTGGCCCTTTCAGAAAACAAAGCCATCCATAATTACCATTTAGAAACTACATAGGCACTAGTAGATGGCGTAAAAATTTACAAAGTCGCAACGACTGGTTTGAGAATTTCAAGGTAGTGTTGCCACCTTCATTTTTTGCACTTTTTCTCGCTTACGAAGCGTCTTCTTGCGGCAAGGATGGCGATTTTGGTATCATGAAAGGGTAATTTACTTATACAAGAAAAATTGTTTTTTTCATAGGTGTCCCAGATTTACACAACCCATTCTAGGTCCCCAGTGAGGAGCAAGAGAAAAGCATGCCTTTGGGTTGCCCTTGACTCCCACAAGGCAGTGCTCCTTGCCGTGATTGAGCCAGTGGCCTGTGCGGCCGGTGCGGATGATGCGCTGTAGCTGGTTGGTCTTGACCCAGATGAGCTCGTCACAGCGTTCATAACCCCAGAGTTTTAAGCATTCTCGGCCTAGCTCCATGGCTCTCCCGGTAACCCACAGGAAGATCAGGCCATCATCGGTCAGGCTGCACACACCACAGAACACACGCCCAGAACAAAAACCTGTGACAGGGTACAAAATTCAGACACATACTGCAAGTCAAGCTGTTTCATGCAAAAAAAGCACCACATCAACTGTATATTCTATACTTTTGCTAATAGTGCGTTTTAAGGTCAAAGTGCATTCGAATAGTAGAACATCCATATTATCAGGAAAAATAAGCATATTTCTAATGACAAAACCAGCCTGCACTACGTATATGTATATTTTACAAATTGAAGCATAGCATGTGCAAATGCCGTTCCTTTTGGTTAAAAAAAAAGTGGAAGCAACTCTGAATAGTAACAGAACTTGACTTTCAATAGAATGCAAGTGATAACCTGTAAATTTTATGTTTTAAAATGTGCTATAATTAGGGCATGCAAGCCACCATAAGAAGCTGTTAAACTTTGAAAATGATTAGTCGATGTGACGGTAATACGTTCGTATAACCTTGAAGTGGGGCTTTGCTACAGTTTGGATTTCCCCTCGATAGGTGTTTTCATGGCTTAGCACTCCTTCACTGCAGTGAGACCACTTTTACGAAGAATTACATTTAGAATACACACTTAGTATATTTACCTGGCCACTTTATAGAGATACACAGAACTCTAGAGGGGTGATTTGCATTTAGTCACTGAAAATCAAGTTATCGGAACACATTCCCCAAGTGTTACTCGAATAACTGCACCCAACACCAGAGTTCAAGAATGAGTTTTAGCCTTTGAAATCAACATACAACAGAATTTTAATCACGTGGTTCTTTCGCGTGCTCTGGGAGTAGCTCAATAAGCTGAGTAACAGAGAAGCACTCACAAAACAGCCAAATGTTCCCTATTCTCGTATCTCATAGGAGTGATGTCACGAAGCTTAGACATGCCAGTACGGGCCACCCTATCTGTGCAGTTTCAAAACCTATATGTGTCACATTAATATTTATTTATTCATTAGATACTGCAGCCCCACTGGCACTTTTGCAGAAAAGGAGATCAAGTACCATACAAAAAGTGATGATATGTGGGGTTTCAACGTCCCAAAACCACCATATGATTATGAGAGACGCATGCAACAAGTGGAGACAAAACATAATGCTATCGCTATGTGCGAACAACTCCAAGCAAAGAATTCCAGCGTTCAATTGTCAAGAGCCAAGAAATCGTGCCTGAACACGTCAGTTCTAAATTAAAATGTAAAAAGTGAGTGTTTGTGAATATTTAAAATTTCGAATATTTCTCCGGTGCTTACTATTCTGTTCACACCGGAATGTTACTAATCGAACTTCCCAAAAAGCAGTTAATCTCAGATTGACAATGGTCCCCTCAAAATCTTAATATGCTTGACCTCATACACAATTGTATTGCGGCAAAACTGCCTCTTAAACTTTCCTACGGTCGCATATGTATTGACTCGAGAAAACACTGGTCCCAACATGGAGCTGATAAATGTGGCAGGGGTGAGGGCTTAATTAATGCTGTTTTAGACCCGAAGCTTGGGCAGGAATCCCTAAAATACAGATGCTGCAAATTTTTAAGATCGAAAATTTCAAGACGTTTTTATGTACTGGTGTCTACGAGGCAGAAGTGAAACTCCGTACTTGGAGGGAGCACACCCTTGTCTGCTTGCCACATTAGTTGGCGGACAAGAGTGTCCTGCCTTCCACACAAGTTGGTAGAGGCTGAGGAAGTAGCATCCTTGCCTTTCACGTGTAAAGTGTTATAGGCTCCACTTTTGTTGCACCAAATCATACACATAAATACAATTCAGCCTATGCGTTGTCTCATTCTTGATAAGACAACTAGGAAACACCAGCCCAACAGCTATTCACCAGCCTAACTCAAAGGAACACTTTCATGTTGCTGTCTCATGATATTGCACTTAGGAATCCTCTCCAACATTTTTTTCCCCCTCTAAGAATAGTAGAGAAATAAAAAAAATATTCCATTTGATCTGCATTGGCCGTTCAATATTCAAATTCTTCTCACATTCAAAATTGTGCCAATCGCACAGCTCTAGTTAAAAGGTACTGTTCATGCTAGCTAAGAGTACGGAAAGGATCAGCAACCCTTCCAAATTTATACAAGCAAGTGAGATGTGACAAGTTAACTAGACAATGCAGAAACTTTAAATTTTCGATTTGGTGATTTGCTCACAAAAAGGTAAGGTGAAGATGAGAAACGTAAGAGAATGGCAGAAAATATCTGTCATGATTAAAATTTGTTGAGGGCTTATAGGTGCATGGCCCGACAAAATTCTGAGGCACACAAAAAAAAAATGAGGACAAAAATAACAGCACTGGCGGCAACTAAGAACCCTTGTTAGTTGGCACCAGTCCTGTTTATCTCGTCGTATCTACGGTATGTGTAACATGTGGCTTTAGTTTGTACAATAAACTTAATATTGTGGATGCTATTTTTCTAAAAAGAATTTCCCACTACAGACACATGTTCTAGAATTGGCTGGATTAGCTATTTTTTATACACAAGTTAACAGTATCTTGAGGAGCTACATGAAGGGTCCATTGAAGATAACTATGCAGGATATTTGTAAGGCTGAACATGACAATTTTGACATGCAAGAAATTTTCAATGTGACAGCATAGAGTCTACGTGTGCCAGGCTTATAGACAGGACTTTTTTGGGGGAAGGGGCACTTGCTGCGGACCTCAACTACATTAGAAGAACACTTATGTTCATTACTTATTTTTGGTAAAACACTCTTATTCATCAAAATTTCGAGTGTGGAGGGGGTGACGTATGCTACCACATGGGCCAAAAACTTGCAATGAAACAAACCTTAGAAAAATGGTGACAGTGCCTCTATAAAGGCCACATCATTATTATCATCGTCAGCAGCAGCTTGACTACACCCACTGCAGGGTAAAGGCCTCTCCCAAATTTCGCCAAACAACCCGGTACTGTGCTTGCTGTGGCCACATTATAGTCGCAAACTTTCTTAATCTAATCGACCAACTTGACTTTCTGTCTCCCTTTGCGCGTTCTACGTGCTACGTGGCCAGCCCATGTGCATTTTTTTTTCTTGACATCAACTACCACATTCTCAACACCATATATGCCCCGATCCACTTCGCTCTCTATTTTCTCCCTAAAAGGGACTCTGAAAGTTTTTCAAGTCCATGAAATTTATAATGTAAAAGAGCTTATTGCCTCACGATTTCAACACCACAAAAATTTTAAGAATGCATCCAGTACGAGCGGAGTAACGAAGATTTATTGCACGTTGCAATCGCATTCCCTCTTCTCTCGTCCTGACGAAAGCGCTGGAAGCTAAGCAGAAAGGGATGGCAGGGGCAAAGAAAATACGTCACGCACCTGATGACCTTGAGCACTTTTTTTCTTTAAATACGCGGCTTTTTCAGTGTGATAGCGTGCACACACGTGGACTAGTCGCGGCCTCTTGCGACGATCCCTATAATGACCGAGCGCGCTATGTTCAAATCAGCGAATGTCTAATAGATGGCCTTCTACAAGCGATTTTTGAGCTTCCTCCGTCATTTCTCGAGAGAAGAGAAAGCAATTTTTAGCTGACTTTGATCATTTATTGTGAATTCCAGGCCACGTGCTGTGCTATAGTATTTGGCTCGCGTGTTCTCGGGAGCCTCTGTAACCGATCAGCAGCACTTTCTGACCATGCTCAGAAAGTGTTGTAGGGCCCCTTTAAGGTTATCCCTATCATTTTCCTTTCCACCTCTCCCTGCGTCTCCCACAATTTTGGCTGAGCCCTTTTTGTAAGCTGCCAGGTTTCTGCTCTGCAGGTAAGTACTGATCATATGTAGCTGATATACACCTTGCTTTTGAGTGGTAGCGGTGAACTGCCATTCACAATTTCAGAATGCTTGCCCAATGTGCTCCACACTGTCTTTATTCTAGTTATTTCACTCTCACGATTTGGCTCTGCAGTTGCTACCTGTTCTAAGAGACATGCGGTATTTCTTTACAACTTCCAGTGTCTCGCTATCACAGAGTGCTGTTCGTTCCCAAGACTGTAGCACATTACTTTAGTTTTATGCATATTACTTTTCAGAACTACTCTTCCGCTTTCAATGTCTAGTTCAGTAAATCATGAGTTGCAATTCATCCCCCGAGACACTCACCAATGCAATGTCATCAGCAAAGCACAGGTTACTAAGGTTGTACAGTCAAATCTCAGTGTAATGAACTTCAGGGGGCTGTGGCAATTTGTCCATTATTTTGAAAGGTCGTTATAGTGAAAGTCCAAAAATTAATCATAAATACCGTATTTACTCGATTCTACCGCGCCCTCGATTGTAACACGCACCCGATTTCCGACGCGAAAAAAAAAAAAAAAACGTAAGACATCGATTGCAACGCGCACCCATTTTTTCTCTCGCTGCTAAAGCACATACTCGTCGAGCAGCTCTTTAATTTGCGGAAACCGACCCTGCTGTGGTCCACTGAAGCCTTTGCGTAAAGCTTTGCTGTCGAAAATCTTTTGCTTTTGTTTCCGCCGGTACCGCACGCACGTTTCGGGAACTCCGAACGACCGCGATGCGGCCCGATTTCCGTTCGTTTCTGCACACGCGATGACTTTTCTTTTAAAAGCGGCATCATGGTGCACTCGAGTTTTTGGAGTCGGCCAATCCACGCCGTCGATGCTAATGCACTACTAGATGACGAACTCCTCAGCACACGTACGAAGTGCCGCACATGAGAAACACATAGGCAGAAATGGACGACGCGCCATGCCGACGCACGTAGGGGGCGGCCATTTTAGATTTGCCGATGGCAATAGATTGGCCGTAATTTTTTTGTACGTATTCGATTCTAACGCGCATGCGATTTATGAACTCGCTTAACCGGAAAAAAGGTGCGCGTTAGATTCGAGTAATTACGGTACTTATTTTCCACCAACCAAAATGATTTACCTTTAGAATGGTGGGTCCTTGAACTCGTTATTCACAAGAAAAAACAAATGCACAAGTGAACACCAAAAAATGCATGTTAACTTAAAGAAGTCTGTGTTTTTTTTTTTTTTCTTTTCGATGCGTGCACTTTAAGTTCTTTGGCCACAACAGACTGCTTTTCACCTTTCAGTTGCCAAAGAATATCCACTTTCTCCCTTAGCAAAAACTGCTTTCGCTTCTTCGTTGCAAGCAGAGATGAACTCTTTGTAATAGCATCACAGTGCGAATGCCAACTTGCTATGCGGACGCGATAAGTAATCACCGAAACGAGATGAACATGACTGACAGGGCCTCCTAGAGCACATGTAGAAGTGAAAAATATAAAAAAACCTGAAGTGTCGCAGCTGTCATCGCCTTTTCCAAAGAAAAGAAAGCTGAAAAACAAATTCCTCAGGTTTCGTTTTCTGCTCCCTCGCTGTCTCAGGTTTTCCACGCCCATGCTTCCCAACTCCCACTCTGCCTCGCTGACCTTGCCCTCCCGTGTTGCCTCTCCCCTTGCCTCTGTGCTTGTAAACCTGCAGCGTCAGCGTTTTTCAACAAAAAGAAAAGTCGTTCTTTGGTTTTTTTTTTCTCCACACCGTCGCGCATTTTCCGAGAAGCAAGGTGTCTGTTCGCTGTATCATCTGCTTGCGTACCGCTCAGGTGGTTGCGATGGATTTCAGAGCATGAGTTCGTAGTACTGAGGTGTTAATATAATGCAGAACTAAATTAGCGCTCGTTATTATGAAGTACGTCATAGTGAAATAATGATAAACAGTGAAATAATATTTTTTAAAAGTTCATTAATGTGGTGTTCGTTCTACTGTGATTTTACTGTATACTCTTTATTCCTAACTATTCCCAAGATATCTTTCAAAACCCAAACCAGCGATGAATTCACTAAGAGTACAGATAATACTGCTAGAATGCATTCAGCTTACCTGGGAACATTGAGCTGCCGCATCTCATCGTCGGACATGGTGCCGTAGGGGAGTTCCATGTGGATGTCCCAGGGTGGGTCTGCCATCACCACCGAGAACTTTCCCAAAATGCTCATGTCGAAGTAGCGTAAGTCGCACTGAATCCACTGAGGAGGGTGCAGCACAGTTGGCCCCGTGCCCCGCAGCAGCGCCGGTGGGGAAGAGTCGCCCGATGGTGCTGGCGCTGGAGGTCTGCTCACTGGCACCGAACTGCTATCCACCTGAACCATGACCGACACTCACTGGTTGCTATGCTTGCAACACAGACTGCATACATTCATCGACACAGGTGCAAACAAGGCCAGCTGGAGAAGTACTCAGCCAACGACCATGAACTTTAGGTTAACAGCATCGTTTGTCGAGAAGAGAGAATAATTTCTAGCTAACTTGGAGAATTCATTTTAATTCCAGGCTTTGCGCTGTACTTTATGTATGGCACACGTGTTCTCAGGAGCCTTGACAACCCATTTGCAGCATTTTCTGATCATGCTGAAAAAGTGTTGCACGGCCCCTTTCATAAACCTCCGATAATGAAACAATTTGTTGGTCTGAACCAATTCACTGTTAGTTTTTAAGTGTCCCTTTAAATCATAATTTCTCAAAGTGGGTCCTGCAGGTCAACGCAAGGTTTCACAAGCCACTGATAAATTTTCCCTCGTTCCGTACTATCCAAATCACTTAGATATAAAACCTGAGGTGTGATTGCTCTGAGGAACCTCTACTACACACAGCCGAGTGTCAATAAGCATATTCAGAGCATAACGAGAATGTGCGAGCTGCAAAAAAAATCCTGCCAGTGGCTTGTAGTCAGCTGTATTCTGTAGCGAGCCACACAGTTCCTTTGTTCCCACATCTGTTTGATAAGGCAGTGAATAAAACAGTGAACATGCTGCTGCCATTTGCAACAACATATGCTTGGGTATTTCGACATATGCTTGGGTATTTTGGGCAGGTATTTTCGACAATAGCTATCTGAAAAATAACCAAAGGAATTGGCTGAATCCAACAGCTTACATGCGGCTGGTCTTGAGTGCGAGTGAGCCTCGCATTAATTTGTAGGTGGAAGAAGAGTGAGTTCAGTTGCATACCCTTGCTTTAGGATTTATTGTATGGGAATGTAGCGTGAATCAAGTTGCATGAAAGCGAGTGGGGGGGGAGGAGGTTTCTTGGCATTTAGTGGAGCTTACCAGGGTTCCCTGGGACCAACATGCTTGAGAGCCCCTTCCATATAATAGACAAAAAATGCAGAAACTTTTTTGCATAAAGGAAATTAAAATGCATTGATTTCAGGCAGCACCCTTTACTGTTTAGCTTGTAAACATTTAGTGATGTTAAATACTGTAAATCATTATTGACAATTCAAAGAGTGCCAGTAACTTCCTTGCTATTAAGCAAACATTGATGGTGGAAATCTGCTTTGTAAACAAAACGAATGATGTGTGATTAATAATCCCACCTAATAGAGTGACGAATTGGCCTAGCTGGCAAGCATTCATTTCTAACAAGGAGTTGTTGATGGGTGTTGTTGATGAATGAAAACACAATTTGGCAAAGGGAATCAGTGAAGCACTTCACTGTGTCAAACAAAGGCATGATGTTTACCTCATAGTGCACGTATTTACAGCTGTCCATGTGAAAGCATGTGTTGAGGAAAGAGCAGTCGCCCAGGGACTCATCTGTGTGCTTCTGGATGATCTTGTTGAAGTGCAGCTTGCTACAAGCCGTCCCAGTGCTGGAGCTGCGGCTGCACTCCTGTTTGGTGCCATGTGGGCAGAACTCTTGCACCTGGTGGAAAAAGGCAAGTTGTGGATTCGGTGAGACCATCTTTACGAAGGGTCACGTGGGGACTAATATACACCTATTGACGAATTCCACCGGACATACCTCACGAAATTTCGGTGACGCTGTCGTCAAGCGTTTAGTTTCGCGCGCAAGGCAAAAGTCGCCATGCCTACCACAGTTGCTACGGTGTTTTCGCTGGTGTGCTAGCTGTCTGTCATCGTGCAAAGAAGAAAATACGGTGTACCGATGAGCTGCTAGGTCTCTTTTCTTTATTTTCGGTTTTCTGTTTACGAAAACAGTCACAAGATTACCCGCCAAGAACTTGCTTTCGATTCTGGTTTATCAGTTAAGTGTTGGAATGGCTTACCCAGCAAAAACGATTAGCTCAGTGAGGCGTTAGTTATTGTAATTTGCTGCACCGCATTTTTCAAAAACAAGCCTTATGTGGAGGCATAGCGAGCATGCTTATTTCGAAGCACGTTAACGTTGTGGATAGCATTGCCATTTGCAAAGATATCCTGAAAATTTTTCTCAGTTGCCATTGTTTATATACGTAACTGCAGAATTCATAGTCGCGTCAAAGCGTTTTCGTAATGCTCGCGTGAACTAAAGCTGTCACTCGGTCATGAAGCATGGGTTTCTGCGCAGGCACGGTTCATTTAGGCAGCGGTGAGCGAAATTATTACTTAGACTATGTTTGCCCTGTCTATATGAAGCTGCGATGACACACCGTGCATCAGGCAGGGCTGTTCTGGCGACAGTGGGCTACACTTGCTTTTCATGTCAGTGAGAATCAACAGAAAAACAGCAATTGGGAAACTTACCAAGTCTGTTTATAGTCTGTTTGCATTTCGCAGCCTCGACTTGAGCATACAAATTGAGCCGCGAACCTGACAGGTACACAACCGCGTTGTCCCCAGCATGTAGTTGAAGCACTGTCACAAACGTATTGAGGGTGAGTGTCGCTGAGATCACCCTGGCCATTTGCATTATTAAAGGGGTACTGGCACAAAAACATTGGTCTCGCCTTTTTCGGCTGCATAGTGTTTCTGGGGGCCTGTTAGTCATAACACGGCACATCGTATGCTAGAGAACGCAAAAGATAATTAATTACAGACCCTTCATTATCAACTATTATCAATTTGACTTTAGTGTCCCTTTAAATGTTAGTGCAGTGCAGGAATACTGCCAGAAAATATTGCAAACTCATTCGGTTATCAAATTTGCGCAGTATTTCGCACCTCGAGCCTCTCTGCTTGCTTAAAAGTTGCACAAGAAATGATGCAATCACGTAGATGGGCGTACCTGTGCACCGCCTTGAGAGCGAAAACGTTCAACAAGAGAACGCTCTTTGGCAGTTGGTTTGCTCAGAAGCTCTAGAATCTCCTCGCCCACTTGCTTGGTCTCTTTCTCTCGGGCAGATGGAAGGGAGAGCAGCGACTCGATTGGGTCGGGTGCAGAACGCTTCTGTCCCCGCTTCTCGCGCATCTCGTCGCCGTCCCCCTGTTGTCATCAAGAAGGAATGGGCAGGAAAAACGAGTTGGCTTCTGCAAATGTGCACGTGCAGTATTTCCACCTGTGTCATTCAGCAGGTCGTGTGCCATAACACGTTCTAGTCGTAATGAGTTAAACTGTTACCCAGGACGTCTGCTTGTCTACCTATAGTCCAAGCTTTCTGTCAGGGGTGCGCTCTGTTAAATGTTGCCACAAGTGCACACATTAAAATTTTTAGCATATTGAAAATGGGAAACTGATACATCAGACGATGAAGCTGTTAAGCGAGTTCTGACATCCTTGGAGAAGGACTCAGGTTTCATTATTTGTTGAATGTTCTTATTACAATGATGAATCATTGCCAACATTCTTCTCCTACGTTTGCTCTGGGGTGCTCATGCAAGCTACATTGCGATGTATGGTGGCACACAAAGGTGTAGACTAACATGAAGAAAAAAAAAAGAAAACAAAAAAACCACATCGGTGCAAGGCATGTCCTCCCAATCAGACATACTATGACAGGAAAATGTGGACTGGGAGAGAAAGGGGACGGGCGAAGAAGGGAGGACTCGCAACATCAACATTTACGATTGCTGGGGACGTGCACACTTGCCTAAACTCCTGAAAAGCAGCCCCCGCACCACCGCGACAAAAAAATAGCTACGAAGGACAGCACTTGCATGTAAAGCGCTCCTTATTCCACTTTTCCTGGAGTACTCTGATGCCATGCAAAAAAATAATGTACTAAGATTAGGAAGGGGCTACTAGCTGTCACGGTGTGTAATGCAGTTGGTTCCGCGCACGCGGTGTATATTTACGAGTAGAAGTATGATCATTGACATCTAGAAACATTACTGGCAATCATTCAGAGCTGTTCAAGATGTTGCTGCAGCTCTGAGAAATATTAAATGAAAACATATGCCAGTTTTCTGTAGTCGGATACTGATGTTTCCATGTTTTTTGGTGATACAAATTAATTTAGTTATCCAGTGAGATTCATATCACCAGGGTTTTACTGGATGTTGCAACATTTGTACATCTCTTCCTTCTTCCCCATGCCTGTTTAGAGAAGCAAACTAAATGTGCTGCCAAGTCCTTGGTACTTGTTAAGAAACCTCTGCCTTCGTCAATCACCTGGGCATCAACGAAGGCTTGTAGGCGAGTGTGCTCGGTCGAGGTCACTTGGAGGAAGGGGGTCCCTTCAGCCGTAACATCTTCCCCAAGTGCGATCAGTTCTTGTGCAGCCAGCTTGTGCAGCAAGTCCTCAAGGGCGCTGTGATCAATATCCCGGCCAAGTGATCTGCTCACGATATTCTGCAGCCTGCGCGTGTCCGCCGGCAAGTCCAGTGCGACATCAAGAAGACAGCGCAGCAAGCGGCGTTCCACCTGCATTGATGCGACAGAAGAAAGAAACCAACTGACGATCATGAATGTTTACAAAAAATTTTGATAGGAATGCCAAGGCGAATTCGATGAGCTACTGCTAGTTTGAATAATAGTCGCTTGATCCCCATCAGCATGTTCCCTTTTTCCATGAAAGGCACCTGCAAATGTTGTGTAGGGCAACGTTAAAATGCAGTTTCACATGAACGTGTGAGTGGGCAAAATGCGTGTTGCACTGCCCCCCCCCCTCCCCTTCTTTTTTTCTCCACCCGATTGTTTGGAGTACTTGCTGCGCGAATTAAGCATCAAACAAAAAAGTGAACTAAACACGCGCACAGAAAGAGCGAGTTGGGAATACAGTGCTGTGTGCGTAATCGATGCCTCCGCGCTACCCATCTCAAGAGCGGGCATTCTTCAGAAGTATGAACGTCAATTGGATGTAAAAACAGCGCAAAAATCGGGACAAGGACTGAAGAAGAGACGACAGAGCGCTGCCTTTAGTCCTTGACTCGATTTTTGCGCTGCTTTTCCATCTCAAGTATGAACCACCAACTAGCCCAACTTTCGCTTCTAGTATGAACGTGATTTCGAGGCAACAAGATTTGTTCCAGCTAATATGACTCGACCGCTTTCTGCGGCAGCGCCACTGAAAACGGAACCCGGTAGCTGAACCGTCAAGACACGTCTATGAAATCGGAAACCTCCAACTCACTTCGTCCACATCGGGAGGAGCCGGAGAGTCGGTGCTGGGGCCTTGGGCGGCGGTCGTCTGGTGGCCTGGTTGCGGAGATCCCACGGGTTGGTTTATTGCGGTGCTCAGCGCTCCGCTACTGTCCTCGCCGGCACTCACGACAGGCTCCGTTGAGATGGCCTGGACTATCTCTTGGCGCTCTTTTTTGCGACGCTGAAGACGCTCACGCAGGCTAGTCTGCCGCGATTTGAACTCTTGCATATCCTTCCATGCATCCGACATGATTAGGCCGTACGCTGCGCGCTTTGGAGTGCAAAGAAAGCTAAGCCACAGCTAAGCGCCGGCCGAGGCTGAGAAGACTTCACCGAGGACCACTCGGCAGAGAACTTCGTGGTCCTCTCTTAGCCGCAGCACCGCGAGGGATCCCGGTTATGTGTTCATCGGCGTTTGGAGAAAAACGCTTTCGTTAGCAAAGGCTGGCTGAGGAGTGATTGTGATACCAGCAATACCAGCGCCAAGTTTGGTTTGACAAAGGAGACATTGGACAAACTATGAACGCTGCCATTTACGACCAATTCGCGTGTTTACAGCTATGTTGATGATGATACCTAAACGGTATATATACATATAGAAACTTTCTGAATAACAAAATAAAAGTATAAATTACTCGTTTTTTTTTTTTCTTGAGACGCTTAATATGAAATAAATCTAGCTCTACCAGACTCAGAGGCAATACATATTTGGGCAGACGAGTGGCCTGTGAGCTGAGTGACGAGCACACAAAGTTTCGCCGGTTTCGCTCTAATGGGCGCGCAGTTGGAAGGGGTGGAAATGAGATGGAACACGGTGGGACGGAGTCACGGATTCGAACACCCCGTCCGAAGAACGCCACGAAGTTTCGCTGCACAACGGCTGCTAGTTCTGGCCTAGTGGTAACTACCGGTAGTGCCGGTTTTGATTTGTTCTTGGCATGCAGGGCCCCTACAATTGCAAGTGTCAGTTATGTAATGGAATCTGTGGTGCTATTCGGAACAGATCCCCCCCTTTCTTACTAGTCGCTTCGATGTTGAATATGTTAGAATCCGTTTCCATGCTCTCAGAAGGCGAGGTTCATTGCCAAAACAACCGGCAAATATTTTTGATAACTGCGCGAATGTACGACCACAAACACGAGACAAAGTCAGGCGCGCACTCAACTAACCTTTATCAGATAACTGTGCATCCCAGAAATATGGACGTAGGCAGCAGACCACTATCCACAAAATCCACCTTTTTATTTTTTAGCCGGTTTATGACGTTCCCGTCTCCCTGCTCATAGGAAACTTTGCCGCTCTTACTGACACAAGTTCTCACTGACACTACTGCAGCCATTGCCTTTTTATGCAAAAAGAAAGTTTCACTGACGTCATGACAAACTCTCCTTCTTTATCTCGCTGTAGTCTGAGGTTGTCGAGTTAAAAAAAAAAGAAAAAACGGATACCAGACATATGGGGTCATTCCTATTCAGCATTCCATCAGACTTTTTCATTGTCTTGTTAGTTCATCCCATGTCATTAAAACTGACCAGAACTGAAGAAGGGTGTAAGTATATGAGAGGTGGCACTTGAAGAAAACTTCATTTATTATGTCAACGTTTCAGTCAGAGCCTGACCTTTCCATATTAGTTCCCTTTTTTTGGTACTGGTCAGTTTCACGCCACCGAGTGACCACCATGCAGGTTCTTTATAACCTCCTTGGGTATCGCCAAGGACTGCTTAGTATCTCAGCAAAAATGACCAAATAAATGTATATTTACATTTACAATGCAAGGTATGAAAATGGAAAGTGTGGCTCCATATTTATTTCAGATTGATTGGCATCTTCAAATAACTTATTTCAGGTCTTGAAAGGTGTAGCATGAAGGCCACCCTGGTATACATGTTGGTATATGCTTGGCCCAAGTTACACGGCCAAACTTTAGCCAACCACCTTGAAAAGCATATGATGATTGATGGCCACCCTGGAATATGCTAGCCAATGTCAGTTCCTATGCTTGGCTAAAGTTGCATAGCTAAACCAAACATTTATAGATACCTAGAAACATTGGCCTAACCTGCCCTAACCAATCCTTAGTCAACCACAGCACACTTGGAGGTGTGGCTAGGAGGGTATTTGTCGTTCAGTCTTGGAACTGCTAAAGTTCACTGGTGGTGCGATGAGTCATCTAGCTGGGAGGTTTGGGGTGGTTGCACACGGTTATGGTAGTTCACTTCAAAGAATATTCCACGAAAGCATAATTATTCTTTATTGTGGGCAGCAGAAACAGTAGTAAATCAGCCATGTAAGGCAACATGCCATTATTGGTACCTCACATCCCTGCCTGCCTATTGCCACGCTGATACTTTTGACACAGCTTCTTTGTTAGAAAAAAGGTGTAACAAATTGGGTAAAATAAGAACGCTTGGTTACTGTAGGTGGAGCCCTTTTTCCAGAGCCCCAGTGGCCGTTGCGGCTCACTGAGCATTGTCAAGGTTTGCCAATAGGCTGCTTAAGTCCCATTAGGAGAATCACACCTCCCATGACCAAATCGAAAGTCTGTCCCTAATTAGAGGTGAAACAGTGTCTGTGGAACACTGCACGCACTGGTAGATTATGTGTTCTAAGTGTTGAGGTGAAGTTGCACCATACACGTTGTGGGGGTGCTGACACCCCCCCTGTAAAGTTGTCTGCGCCGCGTGGCGCACGTGTCTCGCCCCAGGGCGTTATTTCGGTGGTGACCACCACCGGGCGATAGGTGGCGTTGTGTTCGCTCTGAGTACCACTGTTGGTAGAGTGGTAGCGCCGGCGGTGGCCCCTGGCGGAAGGCAGGCCTTGGCGGTGGGCGACAGTTGAGCGAGTCTCTTCTGCGCGTGGCGGCTGCCGCGAACGGTTGTCTGTAGCGTGGGCTCCCGGTGCTCGGCACCGCGGGCTTCGCGCCGGGGTCCCGCGTGTAAGGTCAGGCGTTGGCGACGCCGCCTTGGGTATGTGCTAGTGTGTTGGGTGTGTTAGTGCGTGTTTATCATGTTATTGTGTGTTTAGTGCGTCCCTGCATTATGTTGTTTGTATGGTTTAGTGTTAATTGAAATTGTTGTATCATTCGGCGGACGATATCGTCGTCTAAATTAGTTAATAAATGTATGTGTGTGGTGTGCTTGGTACCGATCGTGTTCACTGTGTCCGTTCACTCCAAGAGCGTGGCGTGGCGATGCGCTCGTTCGCCTCACCGAGACCCCACAACGTTTGTTGCTGTTTCTTTAGGAAATATTTTGTGAATTCTATGTAAGTGTTTGGCACCAGTCTATCACCCGCCACCTGCTGAATTCACGGAAGGCTGAAGCTTTTGTTCAGCTCCACAGGCTGCGCCTTGAGCATGTGTCTCGTTGCCATAGCTGTGTCTGTTTCAGTGGAATAGGTTGCGCCTAGGCTGGTCATTTCTCTTGCCAGGTAGTCCACTTGATCATTGTTTACACTTTGGTGTGTGCCAGACTATGGAATGGTCCATTTATTAGCCGAATAAACTGTTAAACATGATCTACATATGACTGATAGTGAAAATCAGCAGCCAGACATTTGCATAATGTTTCGCCGTCTGTTAGCCATCAGTATTGCTGTGGTGGTGAGAACTCTCCACACGATTTAAAGTGTTTCTTACTGTGCTCGTAATACACAGGTTAACTTGCATAAACAAACACTAAAACATTGGCGCTCCACCACGACTACTGCCTTCACGACGCATTACTGACACAACTATCGCAACAACCCAACAAGGAATAGCTTATTATTTTACCATGCGATATTGGTTGCCTTAATGTGGGAAATTTTGCGTGCATGCTTCACATACACTTTAGAAACTTAAGGGTCTTCAATCGGTAAAGAAAATGAACTTGCATGCCCAGCCCAGCATAAGTGTATGTCCAGTGAAGCTGTTTTAAAGTACTGCTACATCTGCTAAGGTGGATGTGCAATGCCTACACATGGTAATGTTGCGACAACAAAATTCATTCTTAAGCCAGTTCTTCTGTACAGGGTGTTTCAAGAAATGTGTCCAATATTCGTAAAAAATTACAGAGGAGGTACCTGCATGCTACCTGTGGCATTACGTTTACTGTGGCCGACGGCATCTTAAGATGCGTACAAACTTTACATATGGCGGTAATTACAGAAATTAAAACAACTGACATTGACATTTTACCCATTGGAACTAGGCGGTCGAGTCAAATGGGCTAATTCAAGTCCATCCTGCGAACAGTCCGTAGTAGTTTAGAAATTTTAGAAAGACAGCCACTGCTAATCCTTGCGGGACAATGAAATCTGGTTAATTGGCAAAACTAAAACCAACACGCCAAAAAGCCCATCTGTCGTTAATTTCAAAAATGCCTTCAATGACAACACTATTTCCTCGCACAGGGGAAGGAGAATAAGCGAGCATCGTTGTTGACTGTCAATCTAGATACCTATTTCGTTTCATAATAACACTTGCCTGCCACCTACTGCATCAATGCTCGCTATCCAAGGGTTGATTGATTGATATGTGGGGTTTAACGTCCCAAAACCACTATATGATTATGAGAGACGCCGTAGTGGAGGGCTCCGGAAATTTAGACCACCTGGGGTTCTTTAACGTGCACCCAAATCTGAGCACATGGGCCTACGACATTTCCGCCTCCATCGGAAATGCAGCCGCCGCAGCCGGGATTCGAACCCGCGCCCTGCGGGTCAGCGGCCGAGTACCTTAGCCACTAGACCACCGCGGCGGGGCACTCTATCCAAGGGTTGATAATGACTTTTGCATATCCTCCTTCCATAATGCGAGAGAAACAGTGCCGTCATTGAGGGGGTTGTTGAGGCGAATGGCAGATGCTGTCTTTGGCGAGCTGGTTTCGGGTTCGCCGGCTAAATTAGCCAGACTTTATCGTCCCTCAGTGATTACCAGTGGCCATCTTTCAGAAATTTCTAAACAGCTGTGGACTGTTCGCAGGAAGGACTTGAATTTGCCCATTCTACTCGACTGCCTATTTCCACTGATCGAAAAGCTAATTGGTTTTACTTACTGTTGTAACAAATGTTTGCACGCATGTTAGGATATTGTGTGCCACAGAAAAAATTGCGCAGCGGGTAGCACGAAGATAACTCCTTTCTGTAATTTTTAAATATTAGACACGTTTTTTTGAAACAACCTGCGTAGAAAATTCTAGCAAAATCACCTCTACATTGCAAGTTTTGCATTGTTAAAAGTAGTGTGTTATTATCAATTACATGGTTTCAGTGCTTGTTTCATGTATTAATTAAGTAATTACTTTGCTGCTTTGCACTTGTCCCCATCCCCTCATTTTTGTAATATTAATTGTTTGGGCAAAATTAATAGGACACCGCAGCAGGGGCCAAGTTACAAATGCGAAGCATTTTTTGCGTACTCTAGAAACTTTTGAGCATCTGTCTGTCAGTCTAGCTGCTTCAGTCTCTGTGCTCTCATGATCACCCACTTAACTAAAGGGGCAAACCAAAATTAGTACGAAAGGGTAAAATGGTTTGACGAATATGACCCGCTAGTCATGACATTAATAATGTCACAATCCCATGGTGTACGTCGTCAAAACCTTTCTAAAAAACAGTGGCACGTACCCGGGGGCAGGTTATGAGCTACTGGTAAGTGGGTATGTGCCTCAGGTGTTCGACAGCTTATATCTACCCAATAACAGCGAGAACACACATGGGTAATTGTAACACTTGACTGTTAACAAAAAGTGGACATTGGCACAGCATTGACCTGACGAACGCAAAGAATAAATGTCATTGTCCCAGCAGGAATCGAACCCTAGAATTTTGCGTGGCAGTCACGTATTCTACCACGGAGCCTCGGAACTACTTTTCAAATAGACCATAATGTTCGTGAAACGTCAATTGTGGTTGCAGTGCTGGCTTTCCAATTTTATAAACATTCCATATGTTTTCTTACGATACAGCCGTAACGTTGTGTTAACATCAATTGTAGTCAGGTGTCATCTGTTTACATTTATGTAGCAGCGTCCAGGGGTACAGTCTTTGCGAGCAACAGCGCTTTAAATCAGTTTACCGCTTCTGACAGTTCTAATATCCATGTTGCTGTAGGCATCATTACGCAGCTGTAAACAACTGGGATATAAAACATATGCGGCTGTTCAACTCAAGTCTGTGCGTGCATTTTTACATACCTTTAGCACAACTTCATAACGTTTCGCTAAAAAAAAATTAAAACGCAGTCAGCTTGCATGCGCTTGCTTTGCATAACATTGATTCCCAAGATACGTGGGATGTGCAGAATTTTTCACCTGGAAATTATAACTATTTGGGGTTCTTAAAGGGGCCCTGAAACACTTTTTGAGCATGGTCAGAAAACGTTGCCGATCAGTGGTCAAATCTCCCGAGAAGACGTGAGTCAAATAATATAGTGCAGCATGCAGCCTGGAATTCATAATAAATTCTCAGTCAGCTGGAATTTGCTTTCTCCTGTCTTGACAATTAACAATACAAGCTGAAAGGTTACTCCTCACAGCCACTGTATCAGCCATCGGTAGATTTGAACATAGCACGCTTGGCCGTTACCCTGGCCGAGACTTGTCCATGCACTTGTGCACGATCACACAAAAAAGCTGCCTATTCAAAGAAAAAAAAAGCGCACAAGGCCAAGAGGCGCGTGTGACACATACCCTTTGCCCATGCCATCCCTCCCTGCTTAGCCTCCAGTGCTTTCGTCGAGAAGAGAGAATGAAATTCTAGCATGTGACAAATCTACGCGATTCTGCTCGCTCGTACTAGACCGATTCTAAAAATTTTTGCGTCGGTGAATTCATGAGGCAATACGCACCTTTAGTCATTCAATCGCTACTGGAAAAAGTGTTGCAGCATTCCTTTACCGTAGACCCCCTTCCTATCTCTTGAGGATAATAGCCGACACACTAGAGGCTAACAGCCTCTCTATAGGATACAAAATTAAGTAGAAAATGTACTTGGACAGGCTCTGCAAGAACCATTTATACAATTCAGGAATGCTTGAAAACAGTTTTGGAAACTAGGAAACATTGCAAGAATTCCGCAAGATGATGTTTTGTAAGGATTTGTATTTGCAACATTTGTGGTCAGAGCTGAACTATTCAAATGGCAGCTATCCACAGGGACTAGCATAAATAATTTAGGATGGTGGTCAAGACAATCATTGCATTAAATTCAAAACAGCTGGAAGATTTTTGCATGTCCTTAATCTGCTATATAAATTTATATAATCACATTGTTTCTTTGGCACATAAACCGCCAGACATTATATTACCGAATTGTTAGAGATACAACTTTAACTTCAAAGGTGTTTTTTCAAAATGAAACTAAAATAGCCCTAGTCTGAAATCTGTGCCAGTGAACTGACATGATCATAAAATTTTTTTTTTCAATACATGTTTGTACACTTTTACTGCTCTATTGCAAAGAAAAGTTCTCCATACTAGTACAGCTAAGTATACAGCAGCCAGCTCTATCTTCAAACTACTTCGCTGGTGCGGTTAATATCTGAAGACGTACCCGTAGGATCAATGTTTGCAACATTCGATGTCTCCTGGGCAGTCTTTATCACAGAAAGAGTGTCCATTTCCCTATGGCAGAAGGGTTGTTTCGTAACGTACACTCGTGAGCAAAAGTATACAGACCACAGGAGCCTCACATGCCAAAAGTGCCACATGCAGTCTCGTGAAGAGTTGTCTGCCGTTGAAAGAGTTGCTCTTGATGACAACTCTCCAGTAGGCACTTCCATGTTTCTTAATAGTACTTGGTTCTTAGGGGTACCTCTTAAAATTCTTGTGATTTGCTTCTCAAGCATTTTCACCTGGATATACGGCTATTATATTTCATGTAGCAATTGTGCCTTGCAATGCCAGAAGGATTGATTGATTGATTTGTGGGGTTTAACGTCCCAAAACCACCATATGATTACGAGAGACGCCGTAGTGGAGGGCTCCGGAAATTTTGACCACCTGGGGTTCTTTAACGTGCACCCAAATCCGAGTACACGGGCCTACAGCAATGCCAAGCAATGCCAGAAGGCAATTTTCCCCAATACGTGCCAGTCGTACTGCGTCTAATAAATTTCAAGAGCCACAAAAGAGGGGAGAAAAAATGAGAATTCTTGTTTTATTGCTATGAGACAATGAAATTAAGTACACAGTTATGAAAACATACAAAACCTTCAGAGAGGTATGGATGCTTGTCCTTGAAGCTGTTGTGCTCAGTGCCGCAAGAAAGCGGAGAAAAATAAAAATAACGAGTGCAGAATGAAAATCCAAGTGTGAGGACAATGCGACTCGACTGAGCCGGGACAGGCACTGTCACAGCCTTGTGTTGTTCGTCTTAAGTACATAGTATCCGCAAAATAATGTCAAATGAATAAATGCTCAATATTTAGCCGAAAGGCATCACCAGTGCCTATGTAAAGAATATGAAAGAATGCAAAAAAAAAAAAACAATGGGGGAAGAGGCCTATAGTGGTACCACCAAACTTAGGCATGTGATAGAATGGTGAGACTATTTTGGCACTTGCAGAGATTTTGCATGTGCAAACTGAATGCACTGTTCGGTGGTCCACTTATTAAACTTGGCACATTTTAATATCTTTGTCACAGGTCAAGAATAGAAAATAAGTTGTCCAGATCTGCGTTTAAAATGAGATTCTTATCTCAGGGCAGCACTTTAAATAAAAAAAAAAATCATTGCACAGCACAAGTTGAAGAGATTGTTTGAACGGACAAGTGTAAAGAAAAAAAAAGGGGAAAAACTTAAAATCTCAAACATACTTGGACAATGCCCTTGCCACAAAGAAGAAACGAAACAAAGATATACAATTAAGTAGTTCTGCTAGGTAATAACGAGGACATAATGTACATTTGCATAAATGGCCTTAATGAAAAGAGCAGTGCCACTCAGTGAAGATTGTTTTAAACTCACACTGCAAAATGCAGAGATCTGTGCCACTTACAAATGCTGTGCGACAGGCAGTTTGCCCTTCCTGCAGTTGCGGATGACATACATGACGCCCCCTATCATAATGTACAGCTCTGGCAAGAATGCCAGCATGTTCAACGCAATTCCAAGGCTACTCCACAGCTTTTACAGTGCAAGGAGCAGAAGGGAACATGTAAAGGTATTCCCAAAGCCGACTTAAAGAGGTAGATTTTTTTTTCTAGTCAGCAGCACACATGAAATATGCACAACTTCGCTCCGTCAACTGCTGCCGAAAAGAAACTCTGCAGAAAGCCGTAGCTGCAAGGGACACGAGTGGAACAAAAGCTCAGCTGCTGTGCCATCAAGATGTGCTTTAAAGAAGCTAACAGCGGCACTTCACGTCCTGGTCACAACCTCAGAGTCACAGCTGTTCACATAAACTCGCCTCTTGGCACTCTGTCTCTACTTCAGACACGAGAACAGCTGCCAGAGAAGTGCACCGAAGGAGAGGTGTTGAACAACAACAAAAACAACAAAAGTTGAAAAAAATTAAAATTGGCAAATTATGTACAGAAATAACTTAAATAGAACAGTGAAAAATGCATAGGTACCAGCTTGGACCAGTGCATACCGAGGGGAGCATATTTAGGAGCGGAGCCTTTCTGGCTCGCAATGAAAAAACGTGAGTACACTATGCCCCTAACATAACACTAAGGGAAATGATACGTAACAAAGTTCACACACATTGAGGAAAAAAAAAACTCCATTGCAAACTTATCCCTATTTTTCAGCGGACAACTGCGAAATGGATCAATTATACGATAACTTGTGACCAACCTAAAGGCAGGTGTGCTAAACAGTAGAGCGCCGGACGTGATAAAAATCTGTGAAAGTCAACCATTAAGGCACTGAGATTCTTCAGGAATTGTGAATGTTACTGAGCTATTGCACAAGAGTTTGAATGCTCCTCGCATGTCAGGTCAACAATGGCACACCTACCTTTCTGCCTTGCTCAAGTTTTAAGCAATAAGCAATCAGAAGAAACAGAACGTAACTACAAAAATGCCTAGGCTGAACACACATTTCAAACAAACTTTTCTTTAGTTTCCGTCGACTGATGATGCGAGATAGCTCACACGCACACACAAAAAGCGCTTTTCCCTGCAGTACGCCCCTGAAGATGAGTAGATGTACTCTCCAAACTTCATGAGGAATACTGATGAGCAGACGTCAACTGTCAGAAAAAAACTTAAGGCACAGTATGTGTTTGTGTGGAAGATTTGAACTTGCATGAAAATTTTCTCGAGACAGCCAATGTGACACCCAGAAGTAACATGGCCCATCACTCATAATGCAAAAAAGAGCAGAGTATTGTGGTGTGTAGACCAGCTACCCAGACCAAAAGATGTGACAGTATGGTAACTGTTCGTTCAGGGCATGCTCAAGAAATGAAAGCTGCTCACGTGGATGGATTAAAGCCAGGACTTCACTATTCAAAAGTGACCACTACCCAATCCCCACCCTAACAACTATTTACGGAACTCGATGCACCTTAATTTGGAGCCCAAGTCCTCAAATAAATGACATTGTGCAGGCGGCCTTTATAGCATCAAACAACACCTCATCATCAACACATGTGCCTGTAGCCTCACCTTACCTGGTATAAAGCAAAGGTCGCCATACACAATGTGCATTGGACTTGATACATGCAAAGGTGCGGCTTCTTTAGCCAATTAACAGAAACTGGTGCTACTGCAACAGCAATGCTTGAGCCATGCTCATGGCAATCCTTTAGAACACCCATTGGGTGTGCACACTATTAGTGACCATAGCAATATCAAAAATGTCGCATTACACACATGAAGCTGCCAGTGCACTTTGTGCGTGTTCATAATTACGTTCCGAGGAGTAATCAAGTATTGTTGGCCCACGTGTGTTGGCCACAGGCAGAACAATCGCACCTACAATGCCGGTTACAATACTTGTCAGATTATGGTAAGAATAAAGCCAACAAACTGGCAGAAGGGGCAAAATACAGACAACGTGCCACGAAGCGTCATCAACAGTAGGTAGTCGGACGTCGGTTTACCACCGCAGCCGCCGTTAGTCCGAGCACAGCCGAGCTTTTCCAAGGGGTGTCAGTGGGTGGGGGGTTAGTGGTCTTCGTTTGGCAGACGGAAGATTGTGGTGGATGGAGTCTGGGTTAACAGAAAAAAAAAAAGGCAGAGAGAGAGAGAGAGAAGAAAAAAAAAAAGGAAAGAAAAGACTGTTAGTAGTAGTTCTTGTACAGCATATATTAAATAATTTCGAAGAAACAAAACCACACGCACACAGGTTCATCAGTTCTCAGGTCAGCAGATGCAATGGGGGCTTATTGCTACTACGAAGCTCTTGTTATAAACTTGTCTTAACGGTTAATAATGCCACGCGACCTCTCGCTAACTAATGCCGACCTAACATTAAGACTAAGAATGCGGGCACATGACCAACTAGTATGCCAAGAATTTATCAAACTGCTTCCCAAATGAGTGAATCAAGTGCTATATGGCTTAATCAAAGGTCAAAATGTTAAGTTAATTTGCTGTTGTCAAACTACTTTTGCAAATTATATGAGAGCAATGATGGAAAGGTAGACTCCTTAGGAGTGCAGTACTCGAAGTGAACTAGAAGTCCGTTTTCCTTCATGCCCGACGAAATTGAAAATAACTACATATATGTTACACCTACATGTGATACCATGTGTGGTATTTTTCTTCCAAACATTTAAAATATAAGAGACCCAAATTCTGTGTAAATGAACAATTACCGAGACTCCTACCCTCAGAAAAAAAAGAAAGAAAAAGGAACCATCTGTGACCGTGACACACAATGTCAATGTAAGCAAGCACACACGATTGAGGGGCACCGTCACAGTTGTAGCTACAGGCCCTCAAATATTTAGCACACATAAGCGAGAAAGGGTGAAAGGTATTAAAAAAAACTAAGCACCGCAAGTGAGACAGAGGGGCAAAGGTGGCTTCCTCTGAGAGGAAAAAAGATTATCACATAAGAGAGCAGTTGATGTAGTGCTAGTGCATTAGTACTTATTGCAACAAGCCAGACTGAGGTGCGAAACATATGCAACAGCACAAGTTAGTGCCCAGTTTTTCCTGTGCAGTAGAAGGCACGCCTGCGCAAAGCTATGCCTCTAGGAATCAGAGTAAAATCCCTTTGTAAAACCTTGCAACTGCAGAGTCAGTAAAAAGCAGTGCATGTAAACTAGATAAGCAAAAGGAGATGTCTGAAAAAAGAATGTTTTCTTTATGAGTGGCTGCAGAAAAAAAAAGTCAACAAGCTTTATATGCAGGCTTTGAAGTCTATTTTATTTCATTCTTCAAATATATATAATATGTATAATATAATATAAATAATATCTTAACGAACCATATGTACAAATCATCTATCAAAACAAAAAGTACACACTGCTCAACCCCAGTTTGGAAAAAGGAAAGTTCACAGGTTGCCTTGAGCAAGTATACGCCAAGAGCAGCAGAGAGTTGAGCAATGTGTGTGCTTTTAGCATGTCCATTTTGAAATGAAAAGGAAGGGAGCCAAGGACAAGGCTTAGCATGTGTGTATACAGCATATATGTATATAGATATATGTATATATATATATATATCTATAAAAAACAGGCATACAAAAGTCAAGTTCGCTGTCGCCACCAAATTCCTAAAATGGCACTTCACCTTCAAGGCTCGCTCCTAGAGACAACCATGATCATTCCAAACAAAAAAATATGCGAAAGCACAAAGAACAAGATGTTGGCAACAAACTATACTTGGCCTTGATGAAGCAGCCAGCAATGTTTCAACAAGATATGTTGAAACGTACTGCAAATGACTGCATGTGTAGTTTGATGACGGCATGCCTGACAGCAATTAACTGTACAGCTGCAGCTGAATGCAAGGTAAAAGGCTGTCGATTTCTTTCAAATGTGGACCTACGAAGTGTGCGCAGAAGAGGCTATGCGGCTATAATGAAACTGTAGTTTGGCCTTCAGAGAGAAAAAAAGTGGGTGAGAGGGGAAAAGACAAAACGATAGCAATTTCACCAACCTTGGTGTTAGGCCCTCATTATAGGGACCCAATCCGCTGGTAGGGATGTTCGCGAATCGCCAAATGACGGCGTTGTTTTGCTGCAGCACCTAAGAAGTGGTAGTCAGGATATCAGGCAGAGTTAAAACACACACTATATGTGGCCCTCAGGTAATTTCTCATGCACATCCCACAAAGCATGCCACCCCAGGAACCATCGCTCAGAGAACAAGGACCGGCTGGATGGTTCTAGACAACGCTGGCTTGTTGAGCTAAGTAAGTCTGAGGGTGATGTAGTAGATGGAAAATAGTGGCAAGAGATGTTCCTCTTATACAATATTAATAATATAATATGAGCATAAGCTAAGACCGCCATGCACAGAACAGTGGACTTGCATGTGTGCTACGCACAAAGACGATGAGCATGCTTGTTGTGCCTTCTGCATAGAATTGCAAGAGCTGTTCCAGCCGCATATAGGGGAGTCTCACCACCACCCGGGTATGCTCAAGGGTTTTTTTTTTTTTAACTTGACTAGAACAACTGCACGCACCAGTATGACGCACACATTTGGGGCCAACGAGCCCCTCCCATGCAGCTGAGACCCTCTCCCCACCAACCAATTATCAAATCTCCTGAGGGACACCACACGCGGCACACAGGGAATGCAACAAGTGAGAGAGTGAGCCGACACTAAGCAAGCCTCTGCCAAGAGCAGTGCTGACACGTTACGGGAAGCTTTCCGTCAAGCTTGAGGTATATCTAAACAACTTATAAGAAAACCTATACAACCAGCACATGTGGATACATGTATAGCAATCGGGCGCACAAAACTCAATGGCAATGTCTTTTCTCAAAGGCATACGTGGACAGACACTGCAATGCAGTTGCAACAATAAGAAGCAAAGCAAAAACAAAAAAAAAGATGCAGAACTGAATAAATTAGAAAACAACAAAATATAAGTCTGAAACCCCCTGAGCACATGCACATGTATGTACATAAATGCTTGTCTATGCAACAAAATTGCAAATCTCATTGTATGTACATTGACAAAAACACGCACATATGTATAGTATCTACAAACCCATGCATGCACAGAAAAACGAAATTCCTCAGTAGGCAGGACGAAAAAAAAAAAGGAACAAAAAAACCTCGCACAATAACTTCAAATATGAAAGAAGTTCAAAAACAGAAGGCAAAGCGATGCATTCATAAAGAACAAAAAAGAAAATCCAGGGCAACAAAAGGAAACTGAAACAGGTGTTCCTGGTCCCTGCACTGTAAAAACTAAATATTTACATGCTGCCCACACATATACCAAAAGTTCCACAACTGAAGCTGGACGCAGGGGGAGAATCAATACCGTCTTATAAATGCCCCTGTATGTGTGTTTAAATTAGCTAAAGGAAGAGGCATGCTGGAATGTCCATCTCTGAAATCTACAACACATGCAAAGCAGCACTTCTTTAAACCTCGGAACATCTGAACAAGGCTTGGCCCGACGAAATATGGAATGACTTTTTGGAAGTGTCACACCTTAGTGTATTTCAACATTGTATTTAGAGTGGCTTTAACCACTTATCTGGCATGAGGCTCAAGGGGAGAAAGTGCCTAGGGGAAAAAATGCTACCATCTAAGCAACTATCTCAGTTAAAAACCACCTGCATTGAATGCAGCACGAGGCTAAATTGTTGGACAGCCATATGCATGAAAAAAGCCGGTTGGAAGGTAGTCTGTCATGCAAGCAAAGTGAACTCTGGCATTGACAACTGGCATCTAAAAAGTCTTCCAACAAGCCACTTTTATGTGCACTAGGGCATATGCGAACCAAATGTTACGGCATAATCTGTCATTCAGTGAAGCAGTGCCTAGTACACACAATGAATGGTGGAATCCTCAATGTTGACACTCAAGCATGTCGAAAAGACAAACGCACCAGCAGGCAAAAGGCACTGCCAGCGTGCGCCTGAACAAAGGAGAGCAAAGCTTGTCATCAATATGAGAGCTAGTGAAAGTGTGGGACCAGAAACGAGAAAACCGAAGGCACAGGGAAACACTCATCGTCCAAACAACCCACCGGCTGGGGAGTGGTCGGGAGCATACTCGGTGAGCAGAGGGGACGTGAGTGCAGCATATTGGTGATAGTCTGGATACGCCGCGTATAGCAGGCCCGCTTCTGTTGGTGCAATGAGAGGTGGCGGTGGGCCAGAGCCATTCAGCAGGGCGCTAGGGGGGCCCACGGGAAGACCACGCGGGGATAATATCAGGGGGGCTCCAAGCGGTGTAGACTGGGCGCGCAGAGGAGAAGCCAGTGCCACAGGTGGCGGAGGGGCGGCGGCCATCAACCGTTGTGCGTCGGCAGCTGACAAGGCCAGTCCCATGGCTGTGGGCGCTGTGAGCAAGGAAGAGAAGACAAGAGAAAAACAACATCAAATGCAGGGCACAGAACACACCCAAGGCTGCTGAGCATTTACCTGCAAGAGTGAATGAGGCTTTAGCAAACGGGCTGTTCTCAAAAGTGAAACCTGGGTGAGAAAGGCACCTTCCATGTTACACAGGGCACATTACCAAATGGCAGCCGCATGTGACAGGTGGAGGAAATGCAAGCAGTCAGACACACCAAGACAGGTTGAAGCTAAAGCATGCTATCCCTTTTCTAACAGGACGCTTTTATAAACACTACAAACACCAATTCTAAACTTCATTCTAGCTTTACAAAGTTGGACAACACAATCAAATGCTACAAAATGAGAACAAGCTAAACAAATGTGTCTACCTCAAGCATAATCGAGATTGAGTGGGCCTAAATGTACGAGTTTACAAGGTCAGTTTTCCACATCTAGTCTTCCTGAACTTGGTAGCATTTATTCAGAGAAAGCTTTTCATCTATGCAAATAAATACTCAAGACCCAGCAATAAGGTGTCTCCAACTGATGCAGTTAGTGCCTTACCGAAAGAGCAGCTACATGGTTTAAAGATCATAGGCCACAACTAAAGGTTCAGACGATAAAGAGTCATCTTATAAGAACACCACAACAAAAGATGGCTGCACTAGCATTACAAATGTTGCAACATGGATGTCCTCTGCTCAGGAAGAAATGAGAACAGCATACATGTTGAGATTTGAGCAAGGTTCATGCAAACTGATAAGGACTGAACCACACAGAGCTGTGCTGCATTTGGATGTATGCATGACAAGCATTAGAGGCACATACAAAATGAACGATGGCCTTGCTCAGCAAGCCTAATTGTCAGGCCTGGGTGCTACATGATGTACGTTCCATTACTGGCTTCAGATTTTCTATGGTTGCATCTTTGTCAAACTAACCACTCTGTTGTGCATAGTTTCCTCCATTCAGCATCGTGCTTACCAAAATCTATATTTTATTAATATGAAGTACCAATGGAAAAACAGGCACAGTCAGGTTTTATATTTTAAATGAATAAAAGCTAAACTAAGTAAGCAATGTGTGGCAATAAATGGCAATAAGATGCAACGAAGAATGTCGGCATCAGGTGACAGCCTACACTCGGGACGTTGATGCACCAAATTTTGTGGTAGTTGTGTGGATGATGTCATGGAAGTGTAAAACTCGTGTTTATATACGATTTGTAGTGAAATCTGCAATTACAATGATGAGATCATAAATACTGGAAGCGGGGACCATTAAAGTGATAATACCAATATTAAGCAAGGGGCCTCTGTTAGTACTAGTGGCATAGCGAGTGTTCTGTTCCCAAAAATCTACAGTGCATTTGCATCAACATTCCTTCGATCATATTGCACACTGAGTGTATACCGTAATACATGATCCATACCTAAATGTATTCACAATTTGCATACTTTACTGATCATATATCTTCAACACAAGTTTTAAAACTTCAATGCCTAACTGAACCACTAAGTGCTAGATCTTACCCATATCAAGCACAACCTCTTTGTTTCCATCATGTTTTTGACAATTTTAAGTCCAATTAAGCATTAATTATAGAAGAAAACAAAAAGCTGGACAAAACAAAAAAAGACTATTTGGCACCAGTATTTGTTGAACTACTAGTGTTAACAAGCACATTATGTAATAAGATGCAAACTACACGAGTCAACATCGTTATCTACAGTGCTTAAGCCTCTTCAAGTCATCACTCACCCGCTCCTTTGGTGCTGCTATCCCTGTAGGTGCCGTTTATGATGGCAAGTTCCATGAGCTGCCTCTTCTTCAATTCGTCTTCACCTTCGGTCTGCGAAAAGGGTAAGGCCAGCAATTCAGCAATATGCACTTGCCACACAACATAATGCATGCTGCCACAAAGAGAGACTAAACTCACAACAGGCACAAGCAGCTTGCGAACTTCATCCACTGCCTTTTGCAGTTTGACATCTGCCCTGTTGCTGGAGTCCTCGCAAGTGATGAGCACATGAAGGTCGTCATTGAGGTGCTCCCAGTTTGGCTTGCCTCTGTTCATGTCCTCCTATAGGAGCATAAACAGTGTCAAAAATAACAAAACATTAATAGCTGCCTGTTCGCTAAGCAATCTCGCACGCTAACCCTTGCTCACCTTTGTCCAATCTGACCATGCCGATGCAGGAATTACACTAACAAAAATATACACTAAAACCTAATTGACAAGCTCCAGTTTCATACAATCTCCTAGTACCAAATGTTACGAGATATTGCAATCAGGCAAAACTAAACAATATTTTATTGAGTTCAGATTGTAGGTTTATTCACAGATAAAACACTTTCCTCCACGTCCTTTAACTAAGAAACACATGAACGAGGTTCTACTGCATTACTATAACTAGCCTGCCCTTTCCTGTTGGATAAGTTTTACAATGCCGCTTCAACAACTACAATGCATTATTACTGGTATTTACTCGTGAATATACTGCATCCTGACCCACGTCTACAACCAATTCCAGTCTTTCACAGAGCCATCATTATATTTAGGACTAAAATGACAAGAATTTCTCACGTTTAATCGCCTCCAAAGTTGGCATGGCCCGAAACCCTCCCCATGAACTCTCCCAGAACAAATGTAGAGCACTGGACAATCTCACGAAGTCCTACCCAGCTGTTACTGTTTCATTGGGACGCCTACCCATCTGCAAATTTATTAGTACCGATTGAAGCTACCCATGCAGTCACTCATTTAAACACCACCACCATTTATGCAGTTTGTAAATGAAGTGCAAGAAGAGACGTTGCTTGCAGAAACAGCATTACTTGCCCCAACAGATATCTGGTACACACTATTACAGTTGAAACTCGATTTAACAAAGGCACAATGGCACATGAATGCTTTCTATAAATTGTGAAATTCATAAAACTCAGAAAGAAATTTTCTGGTTCTTCAATATTGCACTGTAGGCAGACTTAAAAGCTTCAGTGTCATTGTATATGCTGCTAATCTACACCTGCAAGGGATAGAAGTCAGTTAAAGGGTGACATCAAGTATCGTGGCCTGCCGAGTTGCAATATGAAGGGGAACGAATGCAGAGATTGTGCCAGCAGATCAACCAGGAAAATTGTGAGGAGACTGTTAGTGCCATCTGTGGCATAAATCATGACGTAACAATAGCTAACAACTGCAGCACTTCTGTGAAAGTATTCATAGGAACAATAAACTTTGCCGCTGCTCATGTCATGTGACACGCAAGAGCGGCATCGAATTACAAATGTGTTGTTCCGTGTGGTGGTGTAGCGTGCAACCCCATCAAAATAAAATTAAGGTTGTGACTAGAGTGAAGAGATGTTTTACCACAATAACGACAGAGCACACGTTCAAAGGAAAACCCGTGCGACAAAATTAGAAAGAAATCACCTTTTTTCCATTAACGCAAAAACTTTGTCAAGTGGAGTTTGGTGCTAAGTTAGTTTTGTTAATTTGGGTTTTGTGTAGCAGCAGCAAAAGCTAAATGCCCATGCAGAGGCTTCAGGCATGCCTCTGATCCCTACACAGGGCATGGAAATTTTATTTGATTGAGGTTCAACTGTATTAGGCGACACTAGTACAACACAATTCAATTAGAATTTAGAATATGCACCATCATTTTGATGCTATGGAAGCATTCAAATCACAGTTTGGCATCATCAGCACATTTATACTCAACTCTAAAAACCCTCCTCATACAGGCATAATCTATGTATTATCTCATGCAAGAGAGGTGTTAGAAGCATTGCAAAGCAAGCAACTAATTAATATCATGTACTGCAATAAATATTTGACTATAGGAGACTTTTGATGCACTTCCATTCTTACTCTTTTTGTACAGGCCTCAGTAGTTAAAAACTTCTAACTTTCGCCGCTTAAATCTGCAATAGCTTCAGCACAAGCTGTCATCTCAGTAGTGGCACACACTGCCAGATTATATTGTCGAATGTTTTTCTCCACCGCTATTCGTAACTGTACTGACGTTAGCCCAAGCAGATTCCAAGCTAGTGAAATGAGCTTGGCGTGATGTTACGTTTGTGCAGACAAAAGAAAAATTTTTTATGACTCAGCACCTAGTTGCATAAAAATGTTCTCGAATCCGGAGTGATAACACAACCAGCAGTGCTAATACTCCAGCACTGTATATCATCCTGTTCTTGGTAAGTCAGTTGCACCAAACAATTAAAAAAGGCAGCATGCCAGCATCAGTCCTGTTAAAGCCCATGCAGCAAAAGCAGAAGGCATGCAGTCTACAGGTGCTTCTTACTAGTGTAATTAAAGTCGAATGCGAGAAACCTAGAGATTTGTTATGCGGAAAGTCGCGAAATGTCACTTGCAGCATACCCACAGTTCAAACCATGCAAAATGTGCAACCGCAGGCATTGTTACTCAGTTAGCAGTATGTTGCAAGAAAAACCTAGGAGTGGGATGAATGCAGAGTACTCACTTCAGCCCTGTACATGAAAGCATGAAAGAACACCAGACAAGAGGTTAGCTGCTGGAAGAAGGCAAAGTTATAGGTTGGCAGTTTGACATCAGGGCTGTACATTCCAGTATTATTAATGACAAGGTTCAAGACAAATGCCACAATTAGAGATGCAAAGATAATTTGTGAAGCTAGAATACCAGTGTGCATATATAATATGTATAAAAACGTTGCCGATACAGCCCTTGTAAGAGGATGAGAACACTTGAAACGCAACCATGATGCATTACAATTCTTACCGCTGTATTCATGAACCGACCTCACAGGGACACTAAAGAGCAAGATCCTTTTTAGCAAGATGCTTTTTCGCACATTAGTAAAGCACATTTTTGCAATCTCGAAAACACCACTCTTACCGCAACGTAAAGTAAAACTTGGTAAGCGAGAAAACGCAGGAAGATAAACTGTTGGTGGAGACGCTGCCTCGAGATTCCAGCACCGAACACTGCAACGTCGTAATTTTGAAGGCATCTACTGGGTCCTATGTAGCTTATAATCGATGATAAAGTTGAAGTACATTGAAATCTGCGAGTGCCATAGACCCAGCATACGAAGTTTCAAAAAATTTAATCAAGCCAATATCGTAAAAATACAAATACATCGTGAAATTTTTACGTCACGTGCAGAGATTACGGTGCAAAATTTAAAAAGGAAACTTCAACCTTGATTTCCTCTGCTAACAATGAACTTATGACAATGAAACTTACATCATCAAAGTTTTCAGAGTACAGTTTATCAATCTATAACAACTTGCTTTTCTTTAGTGCCCCTTTAACATATCTCGACAAGGCTAGTTAATAAAGGACGAGAAAAGTATAAGTACAATCAGAGTTTCAAAAATATCTTGTCGTAAGAGCGCCTTATGAAAGGCGTCCTTAACTCGTCAAATATAGGCCCTGGGTGTGAGGGTAGGTAAGTTTTCACTACAAAATATTTCAAGCAGCAATGAATTGGCTTTACTGCAGGAAACCAACAATATACACAGAAACAGACAACACAAACAGCAGAAATGCTTGTTTAGGCATTGCCAGTTCTCAGTGAAATACAAGTTTTTCGTCTGGCCACTTTTCTGCAACTCGTTGACTCAGGTGTGTCAGATCAGTTTTGTTATTTCAATGTGTTGTACGTTTTTGTTGTGTTCGGTGGTGCTATCATGCTCCCTTCAAAGTGCACCGTTTTTTTTATCAGTTCCTGAAATTTCTCAAGATTTATTTAACATTTTTACGAAGTTGCATTTATTATAGAATCATGCACGCAAGTGGATTTCACCGACGAATTAGATATGTCCAGACGAATTTTGTCTAACAAGTACCAAGACGGATGCCTAGTGTCTCCAGAGAAAACTAACAATATCGCAGCACATCCACGGGGTGAATTATGATGAGTGGGCGAAGCTCCGGAGAGAAATCGGTAAAAATGTGAATGTTCCATGTGTAATTCGCACAGTCGATCATCGTGTAAAGACATCATGAGAAACACTGTATGTGTATATATAGAAAGAAACATTTATTTGTTCTTAGAGACGATCGGATGGCTTGCGATGTCCCTTCATTATGACGGCTTTATGGTCCGTGAAATGAAGGGTGAGCAGTTCCTGTATAGGTTGCAGTGGAAAACTTCCAAATACTAGGTCAATGCATGCTCCTCGGATCAAGTTGGTTTTATATGGTCATACGATATACATCCGTGCGTCCGCCCATCCATTCACGCATCTGTCCATCCGTCTATCAGTCTGACCGTCCGTGCGTCCATCTAGTGAACACTCCAAGTACCGCCATCTCCCATCCCCCATGACACATACCCGCTTTAGAGTGCCCATTTCGGGAAGTTTTAACGATACAGAAAAAAGTGTTTTGCAACCATAGCAGATATCTGCTGGACTATACTTGTGACACTCACTTGCGAGTCATTGACAAGGCCACCCGCTTTGCTTTTCTTTCAGCACTTTCGTGGCTTGCCCTGCAATCCCTATTAACATGTCGCTCTGAAGTCTAAACGTGCCAGTTCCATAAAAGCGCGATGCGATGAGCAGCTGCACGAGATGTGGCTCAGCAAACCCACGATCGTGGATATTTTCCTGCACTAACAACATAGCGGGCAGATTCTTCACGGCACTTTTGGTGAAGTGTGGGCAGCACAAAAATTCCTGCTTGTTGTAGGTCTCCACCGGGTTCCATCGTTGAAGACTTGCTGCGGCTTTGACATGTATGCTTATGCTGTGCTATTCAATATTTGTTCTTTGCCCTACACATAATTAACGAAAAATATGCAAAGTTGTCATCCCCTGCCACGTTGTTTTAGGAAGCCTTAAGGTAGGTCGTAGAGCACTTTAACAGAACCTTATTTAAGTACGAAGAAGGTTCTGTGATAAGTACACGAAAGGTTCTTGAAATACGTTAAGGAAGGACTTATGGCTAAGGTTGACGCAAGTACTAAGAAGGATAAGATTAAGTAAGGTGCATGAATACGGGGATTAATCCACTTGCAGAGTGAAAATTGAGTTCAGTTCTCCAAAGAAACATGACCAACGTATGCTGCAAGCTCCGGCTTAATCTTGATTGCCCGAGGATCTGTACCAGACAATTTTTACACTTTGGCCTCACAGGAATGTGGCCTTTGAAGTCGAATTAAGACCATGTCCATATGCTCAGCAGGGATGTCTAACTACTAAGCAGCACTGTGGCAAGTGTCTAGATTAAGGTACCTAGCAGCGGGCCTCCCAAAAATGATGTCCGTACTCAGTTTTCCCATCTTCAACCCCATATTTGTGGTTTTGACAAGCACTGCACGTCAAAGAAGTGGCATCTGCTAACAAGCCTCTTTACAGAAGCAGGGAGCGACAGGTTTTTATGAACCCTAACTACACTTTTCAGCATGAATACAGATGTTTAAGGATAAATGTAGTGCACACTCAGCCAAGAAATGCCAGTTGATATTGCTATTGGCAATGACTATTTATAAAAGCTAATGCATACATGCAATGCACATTTCCAATTCTGCTTTGAAACAGACAGATGTTTTCAGTTGCATGTAAGATTATCTTCTAGCAGTTCTTTTGGGTCTTATAACACACCATTAGTTGTGTACATTTCATCCGCATGCCTTTCCAGACACTTCTCGTGTTCAATACAAAGCTGGAAATACGAGCAAATTTGTATCTAAAACTATCTCCATTAGCACAAAAAAGAATGCATTGTAATTGATGGATAACCTTCTCAACAAATTCAACGATGTCAAAAATGTACACGACGGGCATATTTGCACTCAAACTAGCCAGATTCATCCGAAAAAGCCCCGTTTCGAGCAATCTTCCACTTTTGCCCGCTTCCTCACAGGTTGCATAATTAAATTGCTTGTTTCAAGCCTCATGTCTGTCTAAGTGACCTGAAATTTGTGTTTAAAAACCAGAAAGATGGACAAGAATTTGTATACAGTGTGAAATGTGCAAAGCAAATTTTACCTTCTACATTTTAATTATGTATTCACCAACAAGTGGCAAATCTCAGATGTGCACAACATACAATATTCTCAGATTGTGTTCTTAAAAAGCAGATATAAAACATGTACAAAGTTGCATATACCAAGTGTGCTGAAAGCACACGGTGCAGTGGGTCGGCACTACACAGATTGACTGGTGCCGAAAAACCTTGCTTTTTTTTAGAAGCTACGGCCCCCACTTATTTAGGTATGCACATATAAGAGCCAAATTACCTTTTTCTTGTCCCGCATAGAGCCTTTGCCACGAACCATAATCTTGCAGCCGGTCTCTTGTTCAAGCTGCTTTGCTGTCATACCACGGGGACCCAAGATCCGCCCAACAAAATTGTACTGCAAGGCAATAGAGGCAATTCAAAAAATTTCAGGCTTAACGACCTGTCCATGCAACACCATTTACACAGTACCGAAGCATAGTCAGCTGTTCAACTGTAATAATTGATACGATGTGTCTTAATGCTGCACAGATGGCTACAAATAAATATTGAACACATTATATTGCTTATTCAGATGACAAAAAACTGTTTTGTAAATTACATACTAATTCCATTCAAAATGGAAGAACGAATGCTAAAGCTCACTTTAAGCATATTAATACATAGATATGTCAAAACACCACTAGGGCTTCATTAAATGTACATTCATGCTGATATTGATAAGTTGCAGAAGCTTGTCAAATTCAATATTAGGCTCCTTTAGAATACCACTAACTGTAGTTGTTGCTACCTGTTTCAAAGTAATGTTTCTTTTTTTTTTGACATTTTTAGAAGAGTTAAGACAGCTCAAATTTCCTCTCGGTATTTGTGCCATTGACTGCCAAGCACAGGCTCCTACAGCAGGCATCACAACATTTAGAAGTATCTTGACAGAAGCGACAATCTATTTAGTACATTCAAAGTTAGCCTGTCATCCAGAATAATTCCAGTTGACTTGCAGGCTTTGAAAATATGAATGCAGGAAATTGGATACCTAGCTGAATAGAAAAGCAAAGAAAAGCTTTGTAACCATATTATTGACATGACCTTGCCAACAGAAGTTGCAGCCACTTGTGCACAAGAATACACCCACTTCACAGGGCACTCCATGTTATCTAATCAGACCTGATGCTTCTTTCAACAACAGACTTTGTGTGTGCCAACACACGTACAAGAGGTCATAGTACTTTAAATTACTGTGTGTTCATTTTCTTGAAATATCCAATGACTGCTATATGGAGCCACACTATAAGCATCAAATAAACCACAAAACTGTATGAAAAATTGGCTGCAAATTACTTCAGCTCCCACAGTTAACCTGTGAAGCATGTATGTTACTGTAATGCTACTGACCGATGCACAAAGTTTAAACAAGATATCTGAAGCAGCAGTTTAACTTCAAACATGCAGTCAATATAACGAAATACCATCAAAATTGACATATATCAAAGCAAAATTTGGAATGAAAGTGGTGACTCACATCAGGATGCTCCTTGACAGGTACATAGACTTTCTCAGACCGACTAACAGGCGGTCCTATCCCATCAGGAAGTACCAGGGGCTCTTTTTTCATGCCATTGATTTGAAATAGCGATGACCGGACCTTGCCGATTTCTGCATTGAACACAAGTACCTTGATCAAACTGCTGTGTATGCTCGGGAATCCACCGGTGATAAAGTTTGAGAAAACAAATTCACTCACTCAGATGAAACAAAACTATAAAGCTTTTCTTGAAACTCGATCAATTTTCGCCGCCTACAGTTCTTGACGTTCAGTGCTTATTCAGAACTACATAAGCGTTTCGGCCGCTTAGACATCGCCGAACGGTGGCCAGGATTCGAACCCATGACCTCCATTAGCAGCTCAACGCCGTAGCCGCTAGGTTACGTCGGCGAGGCGCCAATCAGCATTCTCTGCTTTTCCGTCGACAATTATCGCAAGGCGACAAGCAGCTCTCAACATTAAATAATTGCAAGCACAAAGGATCCGACTATGGTAATCCGACGGTACTTTTGCAGCAGCTGCGACTCCGATGTGCGGAATCGAGTACAAAATCACTTCATGCACGGCTCCAGTGTTCTAAACGTGCGGTAAGGCATACATACCGGCGCTGGCAATTTGGGGAACGCCTTCCCGGAGAAGCACGAATGCTTGCATATTGAAGCCATCGTCCGCAGCTGTGACATCACGTTAGCTGCAAGCTTCCGTTAATTCTTGAATTAAAGCACGGGGACCTAGCATGCAGTATGGCTGTGTTTAGCTATCATTACGCTGTTGGACTTGGCATATTTCTGCAGAAAAACCGCTGCTGAAGCGACCGGTTGGGCGCTCTGGACACGCCGATTCCGTCTGTGCGACGCATACGCGTGACTTCCGACGCCAAACTGACGTGCGGCAAGTGATAAATCAAGCAGTCAAGCGACCGATAATTCAGCAGTTTAGGATTGTGACCAGATTACCGTATCTACTCTTGACACATAACCAACTACGTCATCGCCCCGATTCCATTTCACCAATCAAACAGGAAACCACGATATCGAATGCCACAGTATTATTTTACCAGCCAATCCGAAGCAATGGGGGCGCAGCAAAGGATGTGTGTGTGTGCGTAGCTAAGGCGTACGCAACGACAACGCGGACTAACTAGTGTGGAAACAATGCCTACGTGATGATTTGCTGATTAACGAGAGAAAACAAAAACCGCCGACGAGTGAATGAGCAAGTAGTCCGTAAAGGCAGAGAGGGGCGCAGGCATCCGAAGCTGCACTTGAGATGCAAGCCGACAAACAAGTGCCACTCGGTCATGCTTGAAAAAGCAGGCGCGCGCATGTCAGCTGCACATTTCACTGCGTCGACCTTGGCGGTAAACAATAAATGGCTTCCGTTTCTGAATGTTAGAAACTTTTAATCGGGATGCCCGGCGCCAGCACAGAGCGGCGGGCGATATGATACAAGAGATTGGTGAAGGTCGGCAGAGATATTAGCACCGCAAGACAGACAACGCGATTTCCAAGTAGTTCAGCTGCAGAACGAGAACCTCCTTTGACAGAAAAATGCTGGCAGGATGGAAACTCGATATGGAACCTAGCAAACTTTGGACCAAAGCTATGGTCTAAATTTCGACAATGTGGAAACTCGCCCCCCCTTTTTCGGAAGCGAGGTACCGCCGAGCCACTTAATTTTGAGTGGCTTGAAAGAACAGAATGTCAAGACCAGTCTGAACAGGTGCACCGCGGATGACTTTCGTCACAACCATTCACCTGCTGGGAATGTCGGCGTTACTAATGCTATCGGAGGTGTTTTCGGGCCCAACAGTGGCTTCACAAGCAGCGCACAAGTTCCCTCTTACCTAATTATTCCGAGAAACGGTGGAAATCCACAAAGGCATCCGAAAAATTCCAAGATGCGCCCGGTGGGCACACTGCGATGCAGGAGAGAAATCCAACATGGCGGCACTTGTCAGTAGGCTTACAAGCGTCGGAATGCGTTTCATTTCGACGCTGTCGCCGGTTTAGCCGGGCAATATGAAAGCACACACCGTCACGACTACGCGTCGCCGGCACAGAGACCACGAAGCAGCACCGATACGCACGGTCGACCGAAAACATTGCCTCCAAAACGATAAGGGGCGGAACGGATTCCACCACACACATAGCAGCGGAGACAGTCCCCACACGAAACCGAAGGACTCGTTGACGGCACCTCTTGGCCGAAGGAGCAGGTGGAAGCACTCCGATGTTTTCGCCGTGCTCGATGGTTACGCCTAAGGAGGACCGACAGCGGCTGTCGCAGCCCAGCGACGGCGCAAACTCACCTTCGTCCAGCAGTCTCTCCAAGTGGATGAAAACATTTGGAAAAGCTGCCAGTTGCTTCTTGTCCTTCAGCAGCTGCGCGAGGTAGTCGGCAATGCTCTGCGTGTTGTTGTTCGAGTTTTCACCCATTGCGCTTTGTGGCCGCTGCTGCTGCTCGAAGAGTGCTGCAACGATAGAAGGCCGATCCAGCGCCGACGACGAACCAACCTCCAGGCTTTCTGCCTCGTGCTTAATCTACTAGCCAAACTCGTCGATTGACCTTCCAAGGAACTCAGCGCGCAGGCGCGTTTGGGGGGAAGGTCCATTTTCGCGCAGAAGGGGAGGTCCCTGGACGGGAGAGGGTGAACCTCAGCTCCTCCTCGCCCTTTTCGGCCCTGGCGGCGGCACGCATGACTCGTCGTCTCTCGCGGGTCGGGCAGCAGAGCCTTTCCTCGGCACGGCACATGCGTCGAAAATAACCGACGGCTGCGTCATGCTACACGAGGACCCGACGCGGTCAGGTCTTCGATTAGTCCGTAATCAACAGGGTCCCGCCGACAAAAGAGCCGCAGCACCCAAGTGACATGCTGTTCTCGCTCTTCGGAGGCGGCATTCATGCCCTGGTTGCGATGCCACGAGGCAATGATTCCCCCTGTCGCTTTTGATCGCCTTGTTTCATTCAGCAGTGAGCGCGACAGCACTTTGCCCGCATCAGTTCCACACTCAAGCGAAATCATCGCTTGAAGCTATGAAGGATTTAATTAATTTTCACGAGGGAGCAAACGTCTTCCGTATCTGTGACGATTTTTCGACGCTCGTCACCAGTCATGCGTCGTCTATGCGGATCTATTGAGGAAGCTGGCGCCGCATGATGGCCCGTGTTGGAGGGCGTTGGACGTATGCGAACAGCCCTTCCGCTTTGAATGTCAAATACCACCCAGACCAGGCGGAGAAGGGCGATCTTGCAGTGGTCGCGATCAAATGGGTCACGCCCACAACCGAGACCTGTCCCACGGCCCCTACATACCACGACATTCTGGGTGGGCTCGGCGCACGCATGATAAACCTGCGAACTAAAATATAGCGTGTATTTTGATTGAGGTAACCTTTAAGTAAATTTCCTTCACCCGTGGTCGTCTGTCGAAACCTCGCCGTACCGCGCCCATCGTAACAAAATCGACAATTTTATTTTTTGTGCTGCCGTGCAAATGAAAAAAAAAAAAAATGAGAGAATAAATTGTGGTGTTCTACGTGTCACAACCATAATATCACCATGAAGTACGCCATAGTCAAAGTTATGCAGAGTCCCCCCCCCCCAATGCGTATAGTTCTTCATAACTGCATCATTCATGGTTTGACCGCGCAACACTCCCGCATTTATTTAATTTGTGTAGCAGCCGAACGAGCCGCGAAACATTCGCATTGCTGCAGCAGCCTAGCGCTTTATCAAGTTGGCGGCGTTCATCGTACACCCAGCCAGCTGAACTGCCACGGCGTACCATAACATTGTAGCTTATCTCAACTGGCGGCATTTTGCTTGTCTGTTGCAGCGCGTTGACGTCACTGGCCGCTCGTCGCTTGCTGCCCAGGCACAGCTCCGCTCATCAGGAACAGCCCGAGGCGGCCATCAGATGGGAAACACCTACAAGCAGGCGGACGACTACGACGTTTTCGCCGCCATCTATGACGCGTTCAAAATGACGGCGTTTACGACATGCGCGGTCGCCGCAGGAGAGCCTTGCAGCAGTGATAGGCGACGGTTGCCCTTCATTTGGTCTCACGAATTGCGTCTTGGCTGCCTTGATGAAGTCATTAAGAGCCCTGCTCCTTCCTGGTTCCTTCCTAAGCGAGACAGATTGCGGCACATTGGCGAGATGAGACTCCCGATGCGCTGTGTGTCTGCCACCCCGAGATGCAGGTCAGTGGCGGAGGAATCCGTCGCTGGCGTTTGTCGAAGGCGATTGCAATACCGTTGTGCTTGCTGCGTGTGCCCATGGCTCTAATGGTGCCCTCACAGATAGAATTAGTAGTAGGGTGTAGCAGGGGCATATCTAGACGCTCTTTTTGTTGTTGTTTTTTTGGAGGGGGGGGGGTATAGCGGCGGTAGCTTGAAGGAAAACCAGAGAGGCCTACTTACGTTCTTTTTTTTTTCAGTGGTTACTGTCATCACAAGAACCCCGTCGCGGCATAAATACTGTTAATTTCTGCTCATACTCGTCCCTCTCACTCGTCCTAATATGTGACAGGAAGGGGAAAAGCACTGAAGAGAAGGGGTGTGGTGGCTGACGCAACCTATGGGGTGGAAGGGGGATCGCCGCCTACCACCTCCCCTCCCCCTCTGGAACCGCCACCGGGACAAAGGGATGAGATAGGGAGTGAAAAGGAAGATAAAGAAAACGCAAGTGGCACTCACAAGTCTACCGGGATGGTCTGTATACCGAATGTTATTTGCGCGAATAAAGTTTCCTTCGTGGTGTTCCGTTGGAGGACTATAAAAGCGCATGGTAACCAGTACATTTTCGAACACCGATGTTTAAAATGGCTAATCATGATTAATTCGTTCTTTGAGATTAAAAAAATCACTGCATATCCACGGAGTGAATGATGATAAGTGGGGCGAAGCGTCCGTGCTTCTGTCCGTCAGTCGATGCTTCTGTCCGAGCGTCCTTCTGTCTTTCTGCCCCTCCGCACCTGCTGAGTGAGTCATCGAATTAGATGGTCAAGACCACGGCGACATAGGAGGGACAAGCCCACGGCTGAAAAAGCTTTGCCCCCCCCCCCCCCCCAAAAAAAAAAAAACATAACATAACATTTATGGTCACTGGCAAGCTATCTCAGGAGACATTGGGCAAGCATTCTCAAATCATGAATGGTAATCTGCCAGTAACCCTCAAGAAGAAGGTACATAATAGCAGCATCTTTATGGTACTTACCTACGGAGCATAAATCCAGAGGCTTACAAAGAGGGTCCAGCTTAAATTGAGGACGACGCTGCGAGTGATGGAAAGGAAAATGATAGGGTTAACCTTAAGAGACAAGAAGAGAGCAGAGTGTGTCAGGGAACAAACCGGGGTTAAGGATATCATAGTTGAAATCAAGGAGAGAAATGGGCCGGGCACGTATACGTATATATATATAGTCAGGATAACTGACTGCATTCCCAGAGAAGGCAAACACACGAAGGGGAGGCAGAAAGTTAAGCGAGCCGATGAGATTAAAACGTTCGCAGGTATAACGTGCTAGCAGAAGAACAAGACCAGGTTGATTGACGGATCGTGAGAGAGGCCTTTGCCCTACAGTGGGCGTATAGTCATGCTGATGATGATGAACATGGATAGCCTCTGGGTACCCTAAACTATGGCGACTTTTCTACGAGTGATTTTCGGTTTCGGCCCCCGTTAAGGAGGACAGAACGCAGGAGGCGAACACGTAGAAGCAGAATAATCGCGAAGCTTGGCACTCGTTCCAGTTCCGTAGGTGGGCCTGCAGTTGTACATCTGTATCGGGTTGAGCAGTGGGTGGCAGCATAAGTGTTCAGGTGAAGGTGGAGTATACCGACTCGGCTAGCGGGTGGGCGAGGGTGGTGTGGTTGTGTAGAAAGCCAACTAAATGTGCATTGATGGCGGCGCACAGATCACTCAGTGGCGATCAGCATTGTGAGGACGCACGATTCTATCCTGCAAGGTCCATGCCAGCTTTACACTGGCATAGTCAGAACAGAGGTGGACTTCACTTTTCTTAGGCGAAGTCTCTGGTTGGGCGGGGAGGGGCGAATGTGTTACACGCTGCCCCTCCTATCTCTATGTGAGAGGCAGCTTGGATGGATGGATTGATGTGGCTGTACCCTTTTGATCGGGTTGCGGCTAACGCCACCTAGCCGTAATACTTAGTGAACAAAAACTACATTTATCTTTTTTTTCTTTAAATAGTGAAGTTAAGGACTGGCACGTTGCAGTGAAGGATTTAATTTTCACTCGTGCCTTGATTGTAGCCACCTGTCAGATAACCTCTTACTAGTTATTTCTACCCGCTTAAAGTCTATTTTGCCTTCCCTGTCCCTAAACCCCAGGTGCATCCGAGCGCCCACTGGCTTTGGGAGAGAGGTACCCTGGCCTGGCAGTCGGTGTTGTGCGAACTCATTTCTCCAGGAAGGTGTGCTCTCCTTCCCCGTCTTTCCTTCCCCCATGGACTGGGTGCCGCGCTTTCATATATATGTGTGTGGGTTCAAGCCAACGATACTGCTACTACTGTTTCGTCGCCAAACGACGGGATTCGCAGCATAACCGGTCCCGAATTCGCGTCGTTGCACAAACCCCATGGAGAGGCACTGTCATATAACACGGTGACGGCAACATCCATATTGTCAAGACTGGTGGAGGTGCTGGGTATCGGGTGGATCGTGAGACGTTGTACCCAGCAACTCCACCAGTCTTGTCACGTTTCTTAAGACAAACTTGGTTTAATGGGTTCGTTGAGTTGACTAGCCAGGCAGCAGCTCAGACAGATCGTCGTTGTCTTCTTTCACTCCTGGATCTCAAGCAAGCATATCATGTGGCAATATTAACTCTCAGTAGCCGAACATGTCTGAATAGTAGTTTTATGCCACGGCATGCTATAGTCCCCGACCTGCGGCGTAAACGGGACTATGAATCACGGTCCTTTCCTAGAGCAGCGTGTCTTTGCGGAAGGAGTGCGTTTCCCGCGGCGCAGGGGGAGCCGTGAAGCCAGAAGAATGTTAACGCCATCAAACGTGACCCTCGGGAAACCGGTCGTGGCGTTCGTCTGCGGCACGCTCTCGTGGCAAGGATCACGGCCAAGGGCTGCCGCGGGATTTATGGTGTATACCCCAGAAGCCCAGCCCGGCGGGCAAGCGGAGGTGCATCGCCAGAAGCCTGCTCAGACGCCTTCCTAATGCACTGGCTTCCAATTTCACTGATAAGACACGCTCCCGACGCTTAGAGGAGACCAGCGTGGTATACGTCAAAAAGCGACACATTGTATATCCGTGCCGCTCTTTTGTAATGTGTCGGTGCTCGGCAGCAACATGGGGCTTTTCGGCTTCTGTTATGTCGCACGTTATGCTATCACCTTCTCACGGATTTCACATGACGACGGTGTCGTTAAGATTTGGTTCCCATTTGCATGACTTACGGTATGCTGAAATATGCGGACTTCGTTATTTTTTCTCTTTATTCACTTTTTATAAGAGCGCGATAAACGAACAAAGACGCTATGTCTTCCGGTGTGGCACATGCCCGAGATGACGAAAATAGCAAACCTGTTAGATATA